GACGTTATGAATTTTTGTATATTTTGTTATGCCATTTATCTACGGTTGTTGTTACATATAAACCCTATATTGGTAATTATAGTCACAGATGCTCACCTTTTCGAGCCGTGTATCGTGTCCTGCCTTTAAAAAGAGTAATTTTGCACTAGCCATATTCTGTAAGCCCAAACTTGAACATTAGAAAATCGTTCTATTTTGCAACATGCCTGGACTGTAGTTACACGTTAACAAGCTTAAGTAAATAAATAACATTTAAATAAACTGAAATAAAATAAGTAGATAAGTAACATCAGCAAAATTGATTGTATCCACCTTGCATCTTGAAGATTTGATTGAACGCATGCCTAAACACTGTTGCACCGTATGCAAGCCATTAGTCATTCTTCTATCTGAATTAAAAGAACAAAATATAGTTAAAATCTGTAGCACACTCTTATAATAAATTCTGAGTCATGATGAAGTTGCGTACCCGAGGAGGTACTGAAGACAATCGCCCGTCTCTTAAAATCACTCGTTTCGTATATCTTCGTAAGGGCTGGAGCTTAAGCAACCTCTCAGTTACTTTTCTGTCCCTTAGCCCCATAATCTGATGGCTGGATTTTTTTCACATATATTAAAGAGCTCCAATATATTTAATTACACAATAAGTCACGCGTACTGGGTCACACGACCTCATACATAATTATACGCTGGTCTAATTTGAAACTAAGATAAAATTCTTTTAGATTTGAAAATTCCTCTTGCAGCTTCTCGTAGGGGTACCAGTGCCGAGAGGTATTAGTAATATGCAAAAACGTTCGAACTATTAGCAGGCAAATCTATGATTTATTCATCAATTCCTATGTTTAAATCAGCTTTATCTATCATTTTCAGCACCCACCAACTATAATATTTACAATTGACTCAATGGTTTCAAGGGGGGCTCTCGAAGAGCACAGCAATAACACTGAAAAATTAGTTACATGTTTTTTTTTTAAATTTCGCGGTTGATTCATTTTGGAAAGCGGTCAGATTTCACTCCGAAGTTAAACATTACATATATAACATATTCTGTTTAATTATATTAATTAGAATATTCAGCTTCCCTATATATGTGCCTGTGCAAGATGGTTACACGCTGGATAGAAACAAACAGGATCTACTAAATTGGCAAGAAAAAGAAAAGTAGAAGACGCGAAAAATCTTTCCTGTCACATTATTCTCTGCTTCACTAGACACCATCAAAAGCGCTGGTCATATACATTATACCACTAGGGGCCGCCGTCGGATAGCCTGAGGCAAAAAGGCTAGCAGCTGCATGCCCTTTTCCTGCTCGTTCTCCTCTTCTAGTTTCTACTTAAATATCGCCGTTGAGAAATTGCCGCTCGCAAACACGGAGTCACGGCTTCCTGCCCTACCCGGAAATGTACATAGTGTCCTATGAAATTTGGTCTTTCGGACCCTCACAAGCCTTTCGCATTTCCTCTGTCTACCTACTTTCGCCGTTCGCTGAACGCACCGATTCCAGTTGGGACGCGCGCACTTTGAAATCAAGGCTAGAATCTGGTTATCTATCTGTACGTAGCAGCAATGTATGCCTATTCTTCTGGACACGAAATCGTATTAAAACAAATGTAGATCAGAACTCAGAAGCAGAAGACAGTGTAATTTCGGATGGTCCTGCAATAGGAAAACGCAAACCGGAGTTACACGTTACCGTGATAAATCCTTGGAAATTAGGTATCTATCTATAGGTCTTGGATGGGAAGTAGATATAAACCTCTTTTGAAAATAGCTAGATACGTATCGTTTATGACAGTGCCCTTCAAATTTGTACTCCAAACGACTCCTCGACCGTTTCCCGATCTATCTATCACGGCCTGCTTGCCATTCTCTGCTGACCTTCAGTTTACCTTCTCACTATTTCGTGCTAAGTGAACAACAAATTTCGAAGAAATGCGCCCGTTTGGCGTCATCTGCTTCTCTATACCATCTTGTCCTTCGTACTTAATCATGACAGAAAAATTTTCGAAGCAGACAGTGTTCAAAACAGGGTTCTGACACAACATAGTTAGAATTCTAGCTAGCAAATTCAATTTGAATTTATGTTCAGCTAAAAATAATACCTACTATAAAGTAAATGTGAGAGCTCCAAATAAACGAACCTATTCACACAAATCCAACTGCCAATACTACTACTGAGCTTAACACTCGGTGCCGATGTGACAACAATAAATAAGCGGCAACTTGTCAGCAGGTGAGGAATAAATAGCATAGTAAAAATGAGACGCATGAAATGTTGATCAAGTACAAGAGAGCAGGTGAACCATTTACACGAAGGATTTGCGTTTAAGAGTTGAGTATTGCTAATTGACTATCTCAAAACAACGCGGAACGATGTCAGCCTAGCGAATAACTTGTTTCTTCGCTACGATGGTGTACTATGACTACAGATCTAGCACGAAAGCAGTACTTCTTCGTTGACTACTATCAGTGGGTGTATCAATTAGCGATACGTTTCACGTGGCCGCTGTGATAAAGTCTCTTTTTTTTTTGCTTCATCTCATACACCAAATGCGTTGGCAGGCGCAGGTAGGTTCTCTAACGGCTTGCTGAATCGAAAATACATTTTTTGGCCAATAAGTAGTCATTTCCTCAATGCGGCGGTAGTGCAGCGGTGGCACCGATGAAGGTTTCAGGATCAAAACACTTAGACAAGACTTCCCATTTCACTTTCGACTATGCACTCAGCTAGACCTTCTCAGTCTTCTTCATAATCGCACTTGAGTTCAGTCTGAACAGAAGCGCGATACTGAAACCGCGGCCGCATTTTTCGGCTGGCATGGGTCAGAGCTATCTTCTCTGTGATTTTGTCAAGACTGGTTTCCCGATACTAATAAATCTAAGCAAATACTTTAGTTACCCCAATATCGTATAGACTACTAAATACATCGTCGATCAGGTGAATGTATTGGTTTCGATGCTAACTGTAACGCATCTCAGAACGACTTAACTTACCTTATCTAATTAAGTTAGCCAACTAGATGGCAAGAGTCTTTACCTTTGAACCTGCTATATTTAGTGAGTGATGCGTATTAAATTTATCATCTATTGTTGATTAATGCAACGAACCTTCTTGTGTAAATCAACAGGAGCTTTTTGCAGTTATTTATTCATTTTTATTGGCCGCCATCTGGCATCGAAAATGCATACTGGGGTGCAGTGAATTTTTTAGTGAAAGCGATTCCCGTCTCGGCTTTTCTTGACCGGCGCCACCACGTCGGATGACTGTTTGCTAACGGCTCAAAAATAGGCAAACATCTCATTAACTGTGAACCGCTTAGGCCTTCCGTTGCAATTAGTGCAGTAAGCAAACTTCGGCATACGATAGATCTCATCTCAAACCGCAACAGCAACACTTTTGTTGACTTTATTATAGGTACCAGGCGCAGGCTTGGCAGGTCAAGCCTTGTCGTGCTACTTACACATAGCAGGCTTTACATTGCGGTCTTTATTGCTCGCCTATGCAGCTCACCAGCTACGTTGAGTTTTATCTATCGTCTTATTCCACACTAGACAGGATAACATTTGTTAATCTGTCAAGATGAACGTATTTACTATGTCATCGATCAAAAGTTGTTAGATAACATAACGTATACATTCTCATATCACCGTCTTGACCAGATTTTCTCTTTCATCCTATGTCACGCTATAAAGTGACATTTGAATGGTCTCATAGTTAAATCCGTTTCAAAGTACGACCGGTGAAAAAGGCCTAAGCTTGTATGCATCAATAGAAAAGGCGGACCTTTTATTTTTGCGATAACAGTAGATCACGATTATTTCGACCACAGCATCTTTAAGAATGCACGAGATACGGATTCCATACTATGCTAATATAGCTACCTCAATGGAATATGCACATCGTTAGACGACTTTCTCAGCCGCTTTAGCTCTAGAGACGCCTCCATTAACTTGTTTCTGTGGCCTTAATTGTACAGGGCTTTGGAGATACAGGATGATCGAATAAAGATTATTAATTAAAGTAATACAAAACGATCAAGCTTCAGTACAACTCGCCAAAAACGGGCTCGATCGAATAATCACGCCCTTCTGTAAGCCGATATAGCGACATGCTTAAAGGTTTTTGAAAGTCTTTTAATTTGCCCGCTAAGACTATATAAAATTATTGTACCCCTACACATCGCAATGCAAGTATTACGGCAGGACAAGACCTCTATATATATATATATATATATATATATATATATATATATATATATATACTAAGCTAGCTAGAGTTTGTGTGGATTTGTGTATGTTTCCATGATAACCTGAAAAGGTAGCATGTTCACGTGTTTAACGTAAAGACTCGTGATGTCCTTTGTTCACATCGAGCGCATACTTCATTCCGTACTGGAAACTAATCGCCTGAAGTAAGCTTCAGTCAGTGTCGGGCACAAAAAAACAAAAACGTTTAAAGCTTCAGTTTATTGGCACGTATTGACAGACTCATCACGAGGTGATCTCGTATTGGCCCATGCTCAGACGTGGGTCCCATTGAGCACTTTAAGCGCTGTCATTTATAGGATTGAGTGCGATCACTGAGCTGGCGAGGGCAGCGGAATCGCCATCGCAGTTACGGTCATCACCACAATCATCAACTCCAGAGAGGACACCGACAGACGAAAATGGGTCGAGCCACTACCGCGCTCCGTAGGCGATTGTGCTTGCGTATCTGTGTCAGGAAAGATTACCGTTACCACAACGAGACCATAGTATAGCCAACTCGACATTGTCAGCTGTTGGATATTTTCCGTAGATCGTAAGCCAAAGATTGTTGGTTGATGTAGCACTACTACAGTTTGGCCTTTAGTTGAGCGAGGGACGAAGCAATTTGAAAAGCAATGGAGAAAGAGGTCTGCAGAGGGGTCATCCGAGAACCTTAAAACAGAGAGTCACAGTTTATTCACAGAATCATACTGTTTCTCCGCGAGGCAGGACAGTTATCTATAGCGCGGCAGCAGTAAATAGTATCAATAACAAAAACAGTGACTGATGTCACGTACAACCTGCAATATTGATAGGTGAAACCTTTTCTCGCCTTCGTTAGTCTTTTCGCCGAATAACTCGTCACTGTCGAGAGATAAAATCAAGAACTCTAAAAGGCCAGTATTTGCATGCAAACTAGATAGAGTACGGATATCAACAATACCTGATTTTTATGTATGTACCATTGGTTATTTGGAGGTAGTTGCTGATCGTGACACGGACTGACAGGAAAGAATGGTGAACGCTACGAGCCATATCCGCAAGTATAAAGTAAGCACACAAATAGATACGCACTCCAACTAAGTTAAATGTTCTAATGAAGTGTTCGTTTAACGATGGAGATCTTGCATACTTATGAGCCTAGACAGTGAAACACCCTTAGTGAGGTCTATTTTGACACCTAATAACTGTGAAATCCTATGAAGCCTCAATGGCTCCGGCAAAAATGAAGTGGATGTCCCTTTAAGTGCCAGGCTGGCATTTATAAAACCCAAACTGTTAAATTTGGGCTTTAAGATGTGTTTTCTTTGTTTTCTTAGCTGTTGTGAAACGTGCTTCGTGTATTGTGAGACAAGAAGCTGCAGAAACTGTTGATCCTGTTTATCAGAACATGAAAATCCTAGACAAACTTGGCGATGAGGTGGAGCTTCTCTATGAGAGACCGAAACTTGCCACATATGATGGAGTGCCAATGACCGCCAATAACTTCCCTATCAAATTTTGGAGAGAAACCCGCGCCTACATACCAAGAGACGGTGAGTTAGAGTTAAATGTTACCATAAATATACGACCATTTACAACAAACTGATTAGATAATGAAACTAGCCAGCTTTTCATTGTAGTTTTATAAAGATCGGTGTTTCTCGCTAATATTGGCTTGTGAAATGTAGCGACGATGTAGCGCCGAAAAACACTGCGCCATAATTTGCTTGAAGTTTATAGATTAGACAATCATAGAGTAATAAGTGATACGGTCCGTAGTTGTTTACAACGTACGGCGGGGCGCGAATGAAGTTCTTCCACTAGAAAATACGCATCTTCCTGTGGAGAATATTAACTATTACGACTGAACCTCTGGTAAAATTTATTCGTAACGCTATTGTCAATCATTTTGCCTTATTTTGATCTAGCACTATATTAAGATTAAGTTCTCAACTTATGTAATATCGCACCTAACTCGAGCTGAGTTAGCCAATTAAACAGGCTAAGGTGATAACAGGTTTGTGAGACCTAGGATTTGAGTCATGAGTTCAGTACAGATGCTTCTAATAGGCTTTAATTAGCCATACAATGATAAACATTTTAGTTCGCTATACGAGTCCGAGTTATTTTGCCTGTAAAAGAAGCAAATGTTTTTGAATATTTTAACTTAATAAACACAGATATTGTCATTAAGTTAAGTAGTCAAACACGTGCGGATGCTTCGGTATTGCGTGTAAACGTCGAGTCTCACGTTTGTCATAAATCATGTCATGGCTCTGTCATAAAACATAGCCAAAAATATTCTGGTAGATGCTGTACTAATGCCATCTTTGTTTCGGTCGGCCTACAAGCCTTGCTTTGAATGTTCAAAAACTTTGGCATATTTCTCAAATTTGGCGCCGTTTTAAAAGCACTGAGTTACAACACGTTAAAGTAGCATCATGTCGTCTGAGTTGCGAATATTAATAAGCTTCGGTGGATTATGTAAATCTTAAAGTCAGATAAAATTATTTCAACTCTCTGTTTGGCTGTTCTCCTCTGTTTGAGGCAATCTGTCAGGCCACTCGGTGAAGGTTCGCCAACTTGATTCATTTATTTCATGCCAGCTATTAAATTCTCATTTCATAAAGCATTACAGAACTTCGTAATATCGCTACGTTGCCAACGATATTGCTTCATTTCATATACAATATATAGAGTTGAGGAAATAAGAAAGACAGCTTCATGACAAACAAATTACGAGTCAAAATTGGATAAATTGATAAAAAAGAAAAGTCAAGATGTTTACGGGCCGATAATTACATCAAGATGTAATTATCGCCCGTAGGCAAACAACTGAAACATTTTTAACAAATGATCTTCTTTGCATGCGGTCTCATTCTATTTAGAATATAGCAGATTAACCTGGAGATGGCTGTAAAGAACAGTTATGGCGTTCAACACACCAGCGATAGTAGAATTAGGGCACGTGTATTATCAGGTCAGGATGGGTTAGGTAAAAAAAAACAAGCACAATCATCTTCTTCATGGTAGTTTCTGTCATTGCAGATGACATATTTATAGTTACCTATCCTAAAAGTGGAACTACGTGGCTACAACAAATCATGTTTGTCCTTTTCAACGGACGTCACATAAAGGACATCAGCGAAAGGTATTTAAATCATCTCGTTTAGATTTGTCTGCTGCTAGCGAACAAACATTCGTCATATGGTGTCAAATGAGGACAATGGAGTTACATGTATATAAAAACTATTTTTTTGCCTACACGTTCAGTGTATCATATACTTTTTCGAAAGAGTATATAATCGATCGTGCTTCGCACCCAATATTACTGATTGAAATTAACAGTATAGTCTACCGGCGCGAAGGGTCGCAGCATTTTGCGTTTCGATAACGCCTTGACGGCTGAATACGTGCCGCTTGGCGCAAGCTCGCGTACATAAATATACGAAAACATATTTATAAGAAAATTCTAATTATAAATAGATTTTAAAGGTGACAATATTATCATCATTTCCCGAGCGCTTATCGCAAACCGATAACGCTCATCAATTCTTTTTGATGACCTGTTTCATTACTGTACCTGACGTTAGCGACTTACTCAAATCATCTATGACACTCCATTGTTTCTCTATTTCGTAAACGTAAGGCCTATTCACTTTAGGCCTTACGTTTTGCACCTATATGTGATATGATAAGACAGTACAATTGTAATTTGACTGTATGGCAAATTGTATCCCTGTTAGAATAACGCAGATGCGTTCTAAATATACTAGGAATAATTGTGTTGATGAGTATAGTTATTATGAACAAATACATATATCAATTCCAGGCCCGGCTCCCGGCCTCTGTGTTTTCAATTGGAAATATGCATATGTACATTATTAAAAATAATAGAAAAGAATATTTTTGTCCTACGTTGTCCTACGACAGAGCTGGTACATACAATGAGCATGACTTTAAGTTAATGTGAACAATCGGGCAGCGTTCTGGTAGTGTTACAAACATTATTCAAAACAGCACGCATTGACGTTAAATAACTCCCAAGTCTAGATGATCTATTACTTACGCGCATAACTGATACTTTTGAATTTTTTTGCTATTCAGGTACAAGTCTGTTATAGCAGGTCAGCGGATTTGACAAATCTGTTTATGCAGGGGGGTCGTGACAAGCGTTTCTAGGTGAAGATTGTTCGTACAAGACCACAGAATCTGTGTTTCGTATTTCTGCTACTTGAAACACATCTGGGCAGATGATACAAATGTAGCAGTATTTCTGTAAAACTTTAGATTTCAAACTCCAAAGGTCGAAATAATCATTCGAAATCTATTACAGAGAGAATAAATAAAAAAAAAAAAGGTATATTATAGTGTACTTGAGATTGGTCAGATGAACAAAAGTGTTTAGCAAGGCTAGACACAAAAAAGACCAAGCGCCAGCTCAACTGCTACGGCCACCGATTGCCCTGTGGCTTATTTTAGATGTGGCAAAAATATTCTCCGGCGAGGCGGGTTTAAAAGTAAGCATCTGCATTTTCTTTATCTCTAACATCTGTTACTTTAATGTAAGGTTACTGTGGACCATATTACACTCGGGTTCGCTTTCATGGGTCACATGATGGCAAATCAATTTGATGTTAGCGTCGAGTCAGTATGCAGTAACACAGGTTTCGACCTTAACCCCCTAACTTGTACGATACAATATATTAACGCCGACCAGTGCCACGCGTGTATCGTTTCGTTGTCGCTGCATCGCTATGAAATAGTGATTGGGTCAGGCAGGACGAATAGCCTTAAGTTTTCGGGTAAACTTAGCTGAATTATTCTTGAATCTAAGGCGCAAGGTAATAGCATAGATACTTTTGCTGATACCGCGTATACAGTCCTCTCAATGACCAACATGCCTTATGGATGTCAAGTAAATATAAAGGACAATGCCGTTAGTTGTATTTCTGCAAGTCTCGACCGAACTGATTTAACGACGTTACAAATAAATCTAATAAAGCGTCTGGCTTAATAGCGTATGGACTAATAGCCTCATTCGTTTGATGCTTTCGGACTACGTAAAACTCACTGTTGATCATCTTGTTCTTTTCAAACATTCGCTTGTAGATAAGGTCCCTTTAGCCCGACTAAAGGCAAATCATGGTCCTTTTAAGTGACTCAACTTTGAACTTAGAGATACCTCTACTGCACCTCGACACGGAATCACTACCTCTCGTCGCCCGTAACAAGTCTGTGTAGGGACCTGTCGTCAGGGGTTGTGTGTTGTCCAGTGCCGGGCGGACTGCTCATTGTGGGGGTCAATGACAAAAATGCTTGACCCCGTCGATAGCACACCTAATAGAATTTGTACATCAGGATGCTTAGTAATACCCTCGTATCCCTATTTTCTTAGCCAGTAAACGAGCTGTTTGGCATCCAAGTTCCTCATCGACCTCGGATGACCGGCTGGACTGGAGGTATACCATCAGGGTTCAAAATCCACTCTTGGAACTTCGCAAACCCCTTCGAATAATCCTTTGAGTTATAGAGTCCTCGCTGTTCTGCTGCTCCAGCAGCTTTAGATTTGAGCTGAAGTTGAAATAGAATAGTCGTTTAGAATAAAGTCTTCTTTACCAGGAACATCCATCTTTGGAACCCGCACTCGACAAAAGCCCCTCCTTACTGCCCAAGAAAATGTAACGAGTTCACAGAGGGAAATGGTCACTCTCAAATACTGCAGGTACAAGTAGGCCAACAGCGGGCAGCAAAAGCGATAACAAGCATTTGAAAAGAAAACAGAATTATATACGTTACAACCTATATATATATATATATTGCACGGAAGCTGTATTTGCCAATGCTGAGCCAGCACAACACCGTAAAATTAGATCCTTGCGTTAGCCCGGTGCGCTAACGAAGGATGTATAAATGTATGATCTGTTATCGTCAGGCAATCTCGTTCATACAGAGTTTGGCTTACCAGCATCTGAGCCAATTCTTAACTAATTACTACGACCTGCAGTTTGTATATTGCCACGAGCAGTATGTTATGCCATTACGATACGATTGTGATTACAGGTATGCAAATTGTCCATTTCTCGAGCATTCGGGCAGTGTTCGAATCGAAACAATGCGTCGTCCGGGCGCAATTAAACTCCACATGCGTTTCGAGCATGCGCCATACGCTGGCAACGCCAAATACATCTACTGCGTCCGAAATCCTAAAGACTGCTGCGTATCCTTTTTTTACCAGTCACTCAAGACGGTAGAACACTTCAGCGACTGCACTTTTGAGGAGTTCTTCGAGTAAGTTCACAGCACGTGTACAGACCAATAATAAGCCTTGCTACGTGCAACTACTAGATCGACACCTGCTTGAAGCAAATTTGTCGGAGCTAGTTAGGACTAAGACGCCTGGCTAAAACGTAGCCACAGCCTAGGCTCAGAGACTGAATAGGTTATATTCAACGGACTATATTCAATGTCGATTTAAGCTCTGCTTTGGTACGAGGCCTATCCATCGCGAGTATGTGTAGGTTACGTGCTGTTTCGCTCATCCTTTTTAAACATGGCAATCTTGCAAAGGTTCGCATTTTGATTGTTCTTATAAGGTCTTATTTTTTATATTGCATCTTTTCTGAGTGAAAGCTGTCTCGCGGAATGATTCTAGCCTGATTAAACAGCTGCTTATATGGCTAAAGAATAACTCTGCACTAATAACGGGCGTTGACTTGGAAACGAGATATTTCTAGCAGAGAAGTAACAGTTAGCGGAGTTGTGGTATCTTCCTGGAAGTGTTTTCTCAAAGCAAAGTTGACAAATCGTCAGTGTATAATGCCAAAGTAGCTACGCAACGGATAAACCATCAGCTGAGTTTATTAGAGCGCTGTAAATGCTCGTTTTTATCGATTATTTTTCATTATATGCAAAATAAGCGTTGCACATAGGGATCACAGAGTGTGCACATGTTTTTAAGCGCAATCAGCTCGTTTGTTGAGTGTCGCATAATTGTAATTTTCACGAAAAAAAAAATGGATCTTCTCTAGGTGGCACACTTTATATTTACTTTAGAAAGCATTTTAGAAAGTCACGAATTTTTGTGCCTGGCAATATGTTTGTTTGAACAGAATAGAACAAAACGACACAATACACCAAAGACGATTATTTACAGAGAGAAAACAACAGAACAGACGATAATTGGTCTTATGCGGAACAGCACACGCGTTACTTCGCGCGCATTTTTGAAACGATTGCCAAACTTTAATGACTGCTGCTAGTTACTTAATGAAAGATTTTAGTACACTGAAGATCGAGTTTGTTAAAAATTATTGCCAGTGACGTATGGTGCATGCTAGGGTAACATAGACAAAAAAAAAAAGTAAGATCTAAGTAAAATCGTTCCGCCACAAATTATAAAATTGCTAATGAACGGTCCTTTGTAATTAATGCAATCCATTATAATTACATATTAAATTAATGCTTAATTTAGTACTTAAGCGAAGTCCATGGACCTAAATTTTCATTGACTCAATTGCAGGTATTTTATGGACGGCAAATGTGAGTTTGGAAACTACTGGGACCATATCGAGTCGTGGTATCCCCACGTTACAGCCGATAACGTGCTCATGGTCACGTACGAAGACATGAAAAAAAACATTGCGCGAGAGCTCGGCAATATAGGCAACTTCATCGGTGGTGAATGGGGCCAAAAGTTGCAAAGCGGCGAAAGATTACAAACGGTACGTATAGTATACAAGCAGTTTGATATTTCGAAATCTTATCACCGTCAGATCAATATCAGATGGCCAAAACCGCCGTTTTTTCCATTCTGCAATCGTACTAGCTATGGTATTAGAGTCGTTCTACCACAAAAGTTACAAAAGCACAAGTTTATAACGAAGTAACATTTACAGAAGAAATAGTTCCTGGCAAAATATAGAATACCGTTATCTTTGTCTCGTGTTTAATGCATCAATTTTCGACATCGTGTAGGTAATAAGACTTTCGTCTTTCCGCAACATGAGAAAACTCTACGAAAACAGTCTTTTTTATGGAGAGAACTTTCTCCGTAAGGGAACTATCAATGACTGGGAAACACATATGACGCCACAAATGTCACAAACGTAAGTGTCTTTATTATGGATTTAAGCAACTCTATGCTAAATTCTATGCAAAAATAAGTTTTAAAGTAAATTGTATAAAATGAAAAACTTAAAAACAAACGTTATCCCCACTGTGCTAATTGACCAATCATTATAAGTATGACAACTCAAAAAATTAGGATTATTAATACTCAATCACTATACTGACTCGAAACGATGAGTTCTTAACTTTTGTGTATCATGTATGTGTTGATATTAACGCAATTTGAATCTCTTTGCTTGGCAGAATTGAAGATGAAACTTACTCTCGTTTGGAGGAACTGTGCCCGCAATTGCTCAGGAAATGGGAGAGTTATGGCGCTCTTTCAGGAAACAAAAAGAGCATGTTTTATTAGCTTTAGATAAAATTGACCATTTCAGCTGTTATAAGTTTTTTTATATACAACTTTTATAAGTTATATATATATATATATATATATACCCTAAAAAACCAGAAGAGTGATTGTCACCACACACACCGTACCTAATCCAATCCTATGCCTACGATTAGAAATAAGTAATAGAGTGTGTACCTATGACTCACAACTCACAGCATTCATTACGACGAGTGCTCGTACATTCAAGGACAGGTTTTTATGTCCTTAAATAAACAGGCGATATAGCCTACGACATGGAACCGCTGCTTCAGTATATGGCGTCTTTATATCTACCAAGAATATTGTCAGCGGATGCAACATGTGTCAATCTTGAGAAAATGAAAAACAATGTAAAAAACTATTGTTATCACATAATATGAAATGAACGTAGTCTGCTAGATTTACCAGCGAAAGTGCCATTGTCCCTGGTTGGCTAGAACTAATGGAAGGATAACAAGCCAATCTGACAGCGGCTATTTTGTAATTACATTATAATAATAATAATTAAGAGTCATGAAACAGATGCATAGAGACGTAGAATAAGGTCATATATGATTTGTACTATATGGAAATGAAGAATTACCGTAGCATTATTCGATACGACTAGCTATCCTAAAGGAACTAATCTACCAGACGCCTCAGACGTACAAAAAGTGAGGGTCATCCAAGAAATAGCTCACTAGTTGGGCTCTAGACAGGATACATTTTAGTGGTCACAAATAATATTAGCAATCTGAAGTAGTGTAAACCCAAAGGTCTTTGAGTGACTTGCTCCACGTTTCTTCCCATTAAATTATTACCAAATATATTGGTACAGTAAAATTACGCTAGTAACTGGGATTGAGTCAGATCAGTTGCTTTAGGACTGTCATTGTGTACCTAAGGTGTGTTACGTCGTATTCAGGTGACGTTGTCACAGGTAATGTATAACTAAATCGTGCATTTTTATTAAGGTACTTCGTCATTCTTCTGTAACGCGTATTAATGCGTAACATGTTGAGTGTCATATAAACAACAGTCAACCCTACTCACAAATCATGTTAATTAAATAGATGATTCAATAGACCCTTGCTCTTTTAGAAAAAAAAAATAAGCTCACACGGTGGGCGCTCGTTACCCGCAAAGTATGAATACTGCTTTACACCCACAAACACACACACTTATATATGTAAACGAGTCTAACTTTGTTTCAAGTTTTATGGCACTTATTGCAAATATCAAGTAAAAATATCTTGAAATATCCAGAACAACCTTAAATCTTCACGGATGATGCTATCTCAATACATCCTTTCAGCATAGGCTACTCCCGGAGAGCAACCTTTGTCCGTAATACAAACGTAATTGTTTTACACATGTTTAGATAGCTGTTCGCCTTAGATTAGATTAACAGCCCCTAAAATGGACTTTTACGGTTTGCTTTTCGATATACAACGATAGGCTGAGCTTTATCGATCCATATGCTTTGCTGTTATCAAGGATATTAAAACGAATCGTCGAGGAAAATTGTAAGGAACTGCTGAGGTATTCAGAAGAGGTATACATAAGCATATCTTAAAATTTCTTTTACATGAAAACGCACCATTCGGCCATTACAAAAATCAAAACATAGCAAAACGTTATATTGTAACGTTTGTTATATTTTCATTCGTTATGTAAATTAGAACCCTAATATTTAGACTATCCATTAAAATTCGGCGTTTTGAAGCTGAATTTAGGCTCCTTTCAGCTGAAAGGGCCCTATATATTTCAAGTTTTATGTTTAGTATTGCCGTTAGGCATATGGCTGGCTCCTAGCAAAAAACGAACTGTGTCTATGCCCGGATTCGAACCTAGACCACAACATATTTCCAAAATTAATAAAATTAATTCCCTTCGACGAAGGGCAATCCAGCTGTATCCCTTGAGATGGTACCAATTCTCGGGATGGACATTGCTTGTAATGAAGATCCAAGAAGCAATGAAATTTGTGAATGAGCCCTTGATTGGTACCTTGTATGGGTAGTGGTCAGCAATCTTAAGCAGCTCATCATACTTGAGCCAATTATAGAAGTCATCAATGATGACTGCCTTATGGTTTGACTAACAGTCCCATCATTCCCCACGACTTTTATCATACACCTCGTGTTCACCAACAAGATTCTCGTAGCAACGACGTACACCATAGGATTTTCCGATACCAACAACGACAAGTTTGGTTCTGTGTCGTCTCTTTGTTCCGACACGCAATTGATTCTCTCGTCCGCATTTTAGGAACACCATAGGATGATTTTCAGCGACGTTCTGAATTGAGCCTTCGTGATCCTGTCACAAAGTGCCCACGACGTTTTGGAGATCATTTATTGATCCCTGCGATGAAATTGTTCTTCGTAGTCGTTGGATTGGATACAATATTGTTTATTTCTTTCTCCCTGATGCTTTTACTTCTTCTAAATATGTTCTTCTGGGAAAAATTTCTTTATGTCCTTGTAAAGTACTTGCAAATTTTAGCTATCCAGCGCAACCTTGAGGATGAGAAGTTCCTGTTGTAAGGGCAGTTTCAAATCCCCATTGATGATTTATTTCTAATTTCTTCTAAAGCACTTGCAGTATAATTGTTTAGAGTCCAACATACACGTCTAGTTCTCGTAGTTGCGTTTGTTTAATGTTACCCAACGCAACTTTTGTGCTCTATTATAGAGTATGATTTCCCTTTCCCTTTAATAAGAAAGAGTATAAAAGAGGAATGTTTTTTAGATTTTTATCATAAGGACTCTTAATATTAGAAGGAGAGCTCTTCAAGAGTCATTAGCTTCTTATCTTAAGTGGTATTTATCAAATAGTGACGAAATTATAAGATTAAAAAGACAGCTGAAACGTGAAGAGTTTTCTTTGAGAGTTATAGGTAATCGTATTAGATCGATTAGATTATCTTTAGCCAAAACTTATAGAAAGGAATATATAAAAGCAAGATAGATGTATTTTATACGTGTTAGAATGAATAAATACTATTGATGGTAGAAGATATTGAACTTCAACCACTATTAAAGAAACGGAAATCAAATTATCTTCATAAATATCAAGTGGGTAAAGGAAGGAGCTCAGCAGTAGCTAAGTTAGTGCGTCACGATGGGCCTGTTATAGCAGCGTTAGCTTCAAGTGGTCAAAGTGGGTTCTTTCGGCAGTTCATCTACCGAAATCCGCCATTTGCATCGACAGCTTTTCATCATCAAGCTATTAATATGGCATATCCTAAAAGTCGTCTTCGAACAATTAACAAAAGGAAAAAGCATTGTCGGTTTTATATTCAAAGACCTCGCTTTAAAAAGTTTCGTAATTATTCAAAATCAAGGAAAATTGTTGTTTCAAGAATTATTAAAGAATTCGACGGATCTAATACACCTACCATTGGGTTATTAACTAGTTTAGATCAAAGAGCAGGAATTGATAAATTTATAATATCTACTGAGTTATTGTAAGAGTTACATAAAAAAAAATTAGGTTCTTAATATACACATTTTAAAGCATTGAAATGTAAAATAAAATTTATACCAGAGGCTCATCAATTAGTTACTTTAGATGAAATAGTGAATAATAGTGAAAAGTTATGATAATGGTGCTGATATATGTAACAAATATTGATTCTTTTTTAAAAAGTCAAGGTTTTAAACCATTTAGTCCACGAAAAAGTTCGAACTTTTTATTTATATCCAAAATATTTATTGAGATTAATGTCATCTTCTAAGTCATCTCAAAGATGTAGAAATGTATGGGCATCTATTAGATCCAAATTAATTCCACATAATGGACCTATGATAACAAGTTATCACAAAGGGCACAGACAGACCTCATTTCGCGCTAGAAGTTAGCCGTCGGATGGAAAGTTTAACAATCATACCCAACGTAAAACTTAAAACAGTGAGAGTTAAAAGGACCTAGGTCCATTTCAATACGTATGCCATCATGGAGACTAGAATGCAGAATCTAACTACATCTTTGATTCACGCGAAAAAAATTCACACTAGAAGCTCTACCCTGAAAACAACAGAATTTTTTTTTAGAAAAAGAGGTGATTTTCGCATTTTCGGCTGAATGAGCTGTTCATATATAAAAACAACTTATAAATTGGGTTCACTAGAGCAGACGATGTTGCACAGGAAGAAATAAAAATAATAGATCCTAAGCGGTTAAATTTTTTGGGCAATTCTGCACGTGCACGTTACATCACGATTGCAGTCACATAATCTCGAGTAGATGATAGTTTTTATTAAATCAAATTAGTGTATATCAATATATATACACGCATGAATATATTTAAGACGGAACAATTTTAGCATTTTATTATTGTCAAATATAGTATCACTTGTGATGCAGAGAATAACAATCCGTCATGATATTTTAAATTTTAGCTTGCTGCCGGTGAAATATTGAACTTCCTGCAATAATGTACACACTCGTAAAACGAATTTTGGTTCTGTAGAGCTCTATCGTCGACCGTCTTTTTGTCCAACGAGACCTTTTTCAACCGTACACAACGCGTTGAGTTATGTCGAACAGTGGTACAAGTAGGTCGCGAACTATCTGTCCTGGGCAGCTTTCTGCCAGGGGCAACAGTCCGTTAATTTTCTTTCTTACAGCCTTGTTGTTGAGAATGATCCATGGGATGGGGAATGGATACGCGGTAAAGGTAGAAAGGGAATCCTCGACGAAACGCTCAACTGTTATCAGAAATAATGAGTAATAATAATAAAGCAATTGGCACACCTTTATTTGTATTTTAGCATGCCCAAACATTACATTGTGTGCCCTAGAAGTACTCAAGCGGATCGAGAGTCACCATGTTCATAAGTGTAGTAAACGTACGTATGAAAAACCAAAGTGCTTCAGAGGTTGATCCTAATATCTCATCTAATATATGTTTACCTAATGTGTATCTATGCCTTTGAATGCAATCTGCTTCATTGAGAGTTTCAGATTGTACGCAAATACACTGGGAGGTACCAGCCTTCGTAACCTTCCTAATGAAAAATAAATCAGCTGGTAAAATATAAGCCACTTATTGCTTTGATTGAGTCTGTGCGACTCTTCAAATCCCAACTTCAGTCACACTAATTCAATAGGTCATGTTAACATACATAAATACCTCATCACGCATAGATGCCAAAAGAATTACTAAGAATTTATTTGAAATTCCCAATATGGTCCCTTCATATCCAGTTCATCAATTTCACTTCAGGCTTCGATTTTCCCATTTTGCGTATCTAATATGCCCTCGTTTCCCTCTAAAAAATCTAAAGATCACCTTGTGTTCAACCTGTGAAAGGAAACGCATGTCGCACCGGCACACACTCACATCCAGATATGAACGAGTCCAGAGATGGAAAATATATTATATATGTTATACTTTGATTGAAACGGCTCAATATTGCTATATTACTAAAAACTTCAATACATTCCAAAATAAATATATTTCATTAAGGATATAGAAAAAAAAATACTTCTTCTTTTTCGTAGACACCTGCTTTCCTTACCAATACGGGAAGAAGTATGGGGGTACTCACTAATGTACAAAGATATGGTTGCCTTCTAATCGTCCATCATGAATATTTACACTGTTAATAGCTATGAGTGACCTGAGTTAGGTTTGAAGCTAAGGTTCTGAACTGACACAACACATCTTTACAGGTTTGTACAATCTGTCTGATGCTGGGTAAATGATAGCCCAACATATTTTTATCAAGCTATTGTTTAGCGCTCATTGTTGCAAGTATCAACGACATTTAAAGGCCTATTTTCACCCGTATATAATTTATTGCCTAACAAGAGAACTTAAAAAGCAAACGTGAGGATTGTACCAAGTCCAAGGTCATAGGAAAGGGTAGACAGTCATCAGATGAGAGGCATATGAACCAGATTCTCTTCCAGAATGCATATGCATCTCTGGACTAGACTTATGCCGGGTTTAATTTGATTCACTCGAATTTGAGAAAATCACATGCCATAATGTTCACTCCTTTAAGGACAAGTAGATCCAAGCCATTAATATTTCGACTTTTTTACAGTTTGTGCAGTGCTTAAAAGTTCAGATCAAGAGGAGGAATTAGGCGCTAAAGGTAAATGAAGTCCTAGATTTAGCTCTCTGATCCGTTACTGACCAGCCGTTAAGCCACTGATCGTTCAAATACGATATATAGCAATTACGATTACTCTGCTTTGTAGTAGAATACAGAACATAATTTAAGATCATTGGATTCTATTTATAATGGTCCACAATAGTACCGTGCCCATTGTTCTTTAAATACGTTACTACTATGTTTTAATACTAACACAAAAGAGCCTACCTAATCACTTAGGTCGTAGACTAAAAATTGTAACTGTCTTCCACTAAGTAGAAAGAATAACCCCGAAAGCGTTTACCACTAAACGTACGGTAAGATATTAACCTTATAGAAATAACAATAACACGAAGAGCACTAGTAGGCATTTTCGGAATTTGCCGATAGGCGGCTAGACCACGCTTGAGCTCGTAGCCTTAACAAGTGCTTTGCCAGGTACCGAAAACAGCACGGAACGGCCGTTAAATTGACCAAAATCAGTTGGGTATTGGCGGCAATTTGCAGAGATCACGTGCATAGGCACGCTGTAAAGGGCAAGGACGACATTGTTTAAGGACAACCAGCCTTTGACGTGGTTCGTTAGAGCAGCGTGAAATCGTCTGTTGACATCTACGTTCACTTCGAAACCAAGAAAGTGCCTTTGCTCGAGGCCATTAACGAACCAGAATTTGTCTGCCGATTGGGTGCTTGTCTTGGAAAACAGAACAATTATACCTTAGTTTACATCGGAAATTAACTCGTACAAGCTTTAACTAACAAGAGCATTCTAAAAATCAAAGGAGACAAATTCGTCTTCATTTATCACTAAACGAATGAACAGCTCTAAATAGCATTTATCGATTATTCAGAAATAACCACCCGTACCTATTCTTTTTCAGAGTAACGAAAGGGTGCATGTTTAGAGCATCCGGGCTTTAAGAACTCAAAGTTGCATTCAAAATATCCGTATTTTTGCGATGAACAGGTAAATCACTGTACATACATGCGAAGAATAATGAAGAAGGCAATTTTCAGTTGTAGCTTACGTCATGCCGAATGGTCGATTCATCATCGGAGTCGCGAAAAACTTCACGTACGGCCGTATCTGTCAACGAAGTGAAATGTACATAATGCAGCCTCATTAAATTTGTGCGCGTAAACTGAAAGCTACTACATTTCTATTTGTCATTTGAATTTATTTATGAAACTACATATAGATTGTATATAGATGCAAATATATGCTTCGTCCTTTTCTGAGCCGTATGGCCGCTAATAATGTTACTCGCCGAAAAACAAACGCGCGACTGCTAAAAACGGTACAAAGGTGCCGTGGAGTGAGAATCCAGGTACATAGTGGTTGTATAGATCTTCCACATAAATATACGTGAACTATCCTGGGCCTAAACTTGTCTTTTTAGCAGATAGCCTCTGACAAATAGTAATTGGCACTAAGCGGGTAAACGAGATTAACTACAAAAAAAAGCACTGGCTTGAACTGCGTTTGGTAAGCAGAATTGTGAAGAAAATAAGAATCTCCGACATTTTAAAAAAGTATTTCGACGAAAGGTATTCGCACATTGTAAATTTCTTGTGCTTTTCTCGTCTATGCAGGCACCCTTAGGCTCCGAAGTATTGCTGGTGCAGCTGGTGCGCATATCTGCCTTTAGCTGGCGGAGATAGTGGTTACGAAGGACCATAGAAATCGAAGACAAAAAGCTAGCCTCGACAAAATAAAAGGCTTCAGATGTAAATTGCACGATGAGGAAAAATGCATCGATAGACTTTTAGATCATTATTGGTAGTTGTTACCTTAAAGCCTAAACGAAAATAATCTGCCTCATTTGGACAACTGCGCAGTTGTCCTCAAATCCAATTTGGTTAATCCCTAACCACACATTCTGACATGACAACGCTCAAAAGCATGTATGCTTACGAGAACTTACCACTCCAAACGTCTCCAGCCCTCTTGTCTGTATCTATGCTCCCGTAAAAGACTCTAGATTACCATTCATCGTCGATATACGACATAAGCTTGCCAAGCTTTTGATACTTTTTCTAACATCGATAGATGCCTTCCGCTAACATTTATATAAGCTTTATTAGATAATATCACAAGAAGTTGTACGATCTGATACAGTCATAGCCGTAAATGGCCTGCCGACTCAACAGACGAGCGCCATTATGTGCCGGAACGAGCGCTCAAGTTATTAAAGGTAACGTGTAACCGCCTTGGCACACATCTGTGCCAGTGCCAAAACGATCGGAGTGCGAAGTGGTTGAACGGAACTTACATTTCTTTGTTTGTCAGTACGATAGAATTGTATAAAGCAGTGGACATAGAAATTAACAACACTCCTTAAAGCGTTGATTGGTATCGTTAACGACAGTAGCGCAACAGGACAGATATTAAACAACCAACACGTACACAGATTATTGCTAAGGTCGCTACGGTGTCTACAATGAATAGTGCGGCACTATTGTTTGACACATCTATTTCATATTGAATTTATAATACAATTGTATAAAGGTTAAGATCTGAACGCACGGTACTCAATGGGTGTCAATATTCACTTTGTTGACTTCTGTGTTCTAGCTGCTGGTGCTCCCTGTTAGCTTCTGTTTATCAACCAAACACGTACACGGTCAACGCCATCTTTGTTAGCCTTTAATAACAAAATCGTCGTATCAGATCATCTGCGGGCACCAGTATACGAGCTAATACAAACAGGTTCATCTATGGAATACGCATAGAGGTGGGTAATATCTATATAATGTATGTTGTATAAATATTACAATATATGTCCATGAAGCGACTTTCCCTCCATGTTACACAAGATAGACGTGAAAGGCATAAAGGCACGTGTTACCTAAAATTTCGTCAAAAGATGAAAGCGTATAACGAATAGGTGTAAACAAAAAGGGCTCAAGGCATCATGATATCTGATCGAACTATTTGCAGTAAGGTGGAGTAGCCAGGCGTTTGTTGGTGTTAGTTTTCTTCAAAAAAAAATGTATATCTTCTTTCTTAAAATATTAAACTATTCATACCTATCAAAGTGTGATTTTCGGGAAAGGAAATCTGTATATCCATACCTCGATGCCCGATAGCGCTGTCTATTTTATTTGTTTTGCTGCCAGGTTTGGTCCAATCCACAGGATATTATAGTTTATCTGCATAGACACCTCTCCATGATATATTGATCGCTAAGACAAAGCGAATGAAAAAGGTAATTCTGGTGCGTACATTTCAGAGATGCGAATAACAGCACGCAGGCTTTGTATAGCTGAAACCGGCCATCAGGTACATTAATGGGCTCCTGAGTATACTGCGGCACCTTCCAGCGACAAAGGGTGCGACTACTTAAACATGTTTCAGCTATTAAACGTGGACGCAAATAAAACACTCGTTTGGAAAAGTCAAATAAGTTTATTAGGTGGCTGGGTCCTTTTTAACTGATTGCTTACAGATTCCGATTATTAATAAAGAATAGATTTTGCCGTTTGTCGGACTACTTTCAGATAGCACTCTCAATCATTGTGGACAGGTGTTACTGCACAATTCCCCAAAACATAAACAATTTTGTATCTGTTGGACAGCTGTTTGTCTACAGAGAGCTCATTCGATCATTGAAACTCTGCAAATAAACAATACGCCATTGAATCTGCAAAATTAAGAAAACTGGTCCAAAGTGTACTACTTGACAATGGAGATGTTACCGAACTATATATATATATATTTGCTTCGCTGGACTAATTATACATTGTGCTAGCCAAAATTACTACGTACTGAAAGAAAAGTTCATGTAAACAGGTGAGATTTTGCCTGTTTCTGTCGCAGAACTGTTACGCGTCTGCCTGACGAAGAATTTCTGCTCGCCGAAAATTGTCGCGCCACGTTGAAGATCGCGATTCGCTTATTTTCGACGTGGTCGTTTTCTTAACGTCCAGCGTTACTGCCTCTTAGTATGAAATGTATAAAGTCCAAAGAAGAAAATGGCTTGAACTGAGATTACTAGAGGAACAGCTTTCAGCTTGCTCAAACGTTCTATGTGATTATAACATACAATTGCAGTTTATGGAATACTGCGACCATCGCTAGCAGCGAATCCGCATAATGTATTATGTGTTTTTAAAGATTACTTTATAATCCAAACGGTCCGATCTTTGATGCTATAAAATATGTTTTTTCAACTATATTTAACACTTGTCGCAATAGAGTATGATAAATAATGATTATTATAACAAGCATAATTGCAGTATTCAAGCAACGACATTACCATTAAGCCTGAGACAATATTTCTCTTTTCACAGTCAATCCACCCTCGTTTATGAATGGCGAAATTCTTTGCCGACATTTCTCTTGGAAGGAATTATTTCTGGATTTCTGAATCTGCTTGAGCGGATAAAAGATGGTTGGCACAGATGGAAATTACCAAGGGCCGCTCGAGACTGCTAACCGTTTAAATAACGTAACGCGTTTTTTAACGCCAATTCAAACAGTAATGGCATACGACATGCAACGCTTCATCACAAGCAAAGAACGCTTCACAGCAAACAGCAATATTAAAACGTCCGAACAATCGTTAGGGCTAGATACGGAGCACAGGGGCGAACGTTTTGTCCAGTGCTTCCATTATTATACGTTTCGATATTAAAATGCCCATCGTGGCAATAACCTTTGCGCAATTATGCTTGTTTTTACATGGGACTGTTCGAGGTGGTGTCGTTAGCTTAGAAAACTGTTTTGTTAGTTCAAATCGTTTAATACACATTGCCCCTAATTATATATATGCCGTCAATTAGAAGATCCTTGAATTTTGAACGCTGCAATCACTAGGTTGTGCGGTACCTTTAACAAATCAGCAAAATTGCTTTGTCGTGCGAGTTTAAAGGCAATCAATGAGCACTATATGCACTTTTATTGACGTCGAACTTTACACGTGTTTACCTATTAGTTTATAAGTGATTCTGTGAAAGCCCTTGCTTATAGAGACAATAAACGGCCTCTGATTGATGAGATATTTACAGTGCAAGCTGCACTGCAACAGTGACCTATTTGGGTAGACGACGAAAGTTAATGTAGCTCACTTGTACGTACAGGCCCTAAATCAAAAACAGATTTAATTTCCCATTTAATCTACAGAATGGTTATAACGAACTCCTATGTTAATCATCCGGTAATCATCATTTTGTTTTCAGAAACCCGTAGACTCAGCAATTTTTAAGAAACACACGTTGCTTGACCCAACTTCAACATGAGCGCTTTTTTTTTAGCTCTAGTTTGCATTACATGAGTTTTTTTTAACAGATTCCTGTATTACTGTTGTTATATTAAATTGGGAGCAGTCTGTCGTTAACTTCAGACCCTTAATTCATACCTATTACATACGAGAAGTTTGATGATAAGTTACAATAAGTCAGAATTCGAGTGTGCACGTGACGGCCAACGAAGTATTAAACGATGTATTAAGTTCGCCTTAATGTTAGAAATATAGAAAACATAGGGGGATACCAAAGTGTACTCTCAAAGCCTCCCTATGTTTCGAGTTTCACGTCCCGTAAAGCGTTCCATCATATGGCCGCCTCCCATCACGTCGAAACGAAGTGTGCCCATGCCCGGATTCGATACCAGACCACAAAGTGAGATTAGCCACACAGCTTAGCGACTAGATAGTACGCTATAATAAGTAAAATGATTCTTACTTAGTGCTCTATTTGGACTGTGCGAAGGGCCTCGAAAATATTATTTAGTGACACCAGGTTTTCTTTTCGTTGAATATCGCGTTGTTTTAATAGGTTCATATTACACGATAACACAGCAGTGTCTTTTTGTATCCTGCGATAGCTAGTTCCGATAACTTTACCCCAATTAGTATCTTAAACGATATCTTACTATTTTTCAACAAATTCAATCGCTATCTATCGACCCAACCGATTACTTTCTGACGACATCAGATTTAACGTCCGAGTTCAGTGTTAACGTTGAAGTGTCGAACAGGTTTGAAGACGACATATCATATAGCAGTTCGATTTTCTAGCGCTACCTAATCTGAAGCTCTGTCAAGTTCATTCAAATCACCAAAATCGCATTTTCTCTGGACACGAAACGATATTTTGGTTCGTTAGTGGTTCAAACAACTGAATTATCGATCTTAGTAAAACGAGCTGACCAGGCCTGTCGTCCTCTTAGTCGTGCTTGTCTCAATCATAGCCATGTTACGCAGCATTTTCGACCGCCCTGCTTAATCGCAGTTGAATTCGACGATTTGCGCTATCGAGGACGCTCGGCTTTCACGATAGTCAAGGAAGAACTCGATATTATCGAGTTTTACACACAAATTAAAGTTCCGTTTGTTCCTTTATTTGAAGGGACCTATTATAAACACAGTAACTATACCCAATTTTAGAAAACGATTTTTGAAAAAGGCGTCCGTCTGGATAGCGAATGTAACTACCAAATGGTTATGGAGAGTTATTTTTTTGATTGCCTGCCGCCCTAAGTAGTGTGCTGTGCTCTAAAAAGCAATATTTAGAACAGCACAATGCGGGACTAATTTCCGTTCAGACTACTGGACAGCGAATGTTCTCAAGTTCTCGGTGAGTCATCACGATCGGAAACTTCGGGCTATTAAGAAGTTCATATTTTAGAATCAAGTTTACAGGTCTTGGCGTGAATCCTGAGACATGCGGTGATCAGAGACTCGCTTAAACAGAATTAACAATTTGACTTGGTTATTACCCTAGGCAAAAGTGTTCTGGGACATACGAAGCTACCCAAGAACTGTTCTAGCTCTAATCCCTAGATATATTTCTTTAAAACAGTACATTAATAGTCAACTGATATGCGACATGTCAACACAGGCACTACTTCGTGCGGTGTTGTTCAGTGTTGTTTGTACGGATCGTCCTTTAGCCAGCCACCCTGCTAGGAAAAACGTGACGTGATCAATTCTTATGAAGAGTTATAATAGATGTTGAGGATAAAATTACTCTACCCTAACAATTATAGGTAAGACTTCCGGAGAGGGAGATAGTGGGGAACTAAGTTCACATTGCCACAACAGATCACCGGAGTCATCTCGCGGCACACATTAGTTGTGGGTCGACAGAAGTTTCGAGAGTCGCGAATATCGATTTCGTCAGGTTTATGTCGCCTCTTCGATGTCCTCATGCAGGCGTAGTTAGTAGAATATTTGCCAGCTAAACTTGAGAAACATGTAGTTGTCTAGGTTCAAATCCAAGCGTCAATACACTCGCGCTGGGAACCAGCAAGAGCCAGTGATAGAACACTTAGCAGCAATAGCAGACGTAAATCTCGAAATATTTAGCCGGTGCTGAAGCTCATGCAAACGTTAATCGATGCTGATGAAGGAAATCGAAATGTCACTCGGTTATACCCTACTCAAAAGTTTACGCAAAGGCGTTGAGCACAAGTGGTGACGACACTAGATTTAATGAGTTAAACTAAAAAACGTTATACGTTACTCTCGCATAAAGTTCAGGTGAAGATGTGGTGATTGCTTGGTAATGAACGTCTGTAAAATTCTGGCGATGCATACAATTAGAGCTAATCTTAGTTTTTTGAAAACGCGCAGGTAGTCGCTCAGGCAGACGATGCTCCTAATCAACTTCTCTATGTCAGTCAAAAAAAGTGCCACTTATTGGACCCCTTTAGTGTTTGTGCGTTAAAGAGTCATGAAAAATAGTTAACAATATAAGCAAATGTAAATAGGAAATAGGACAAGATGGCAATGTACGGAACACGAGCTATTTAAGCCACTGCGTTTTTCAACAAAAAACTAAATGAAAATTTTGCCGGTGTTAAACATTCATTCTTTTTGTAACGCACACGAGTCGGAAACGCAATTTGCGTTCCTGGAGCTTTTTTTCGACCAAATTGCAAAAGGTGGTGCTACACTACGCGTATAAGTATTTTTTTAATTTTATTAAAAACTTTGTTCGACAATAAAAAAAAAACAATTTGCGCGTTTTTTTAGTCTCGTGTGTCTTAAAGTTCTCAAAAACAAGCTGAAAACAGGCATTTTCTAGAAATCGGTTTACATTATCACCCCGGAGACCACACGAGTCAGGGCGTGCTGGGGCTCTATCGACTATTGCATATACGATAAGTGAATGCCATCGATGTTAATTCTACAGAGAAATTTCTACAAAATAAAACCTAGTAGGAATCCTCCATGTGTGTACATATAGCAAGTGAAACTAAGACATCGTGTTCTCACACCTATGTTGTAACTATATGTTGCCATTGCTGACAACGCGCCACATGTCGTCGGTTTTTAATGAAATTCATACGACTTTGTTGGCATAAAGCATCGTCTTAATAAAACAGTGCTATCCTATGCACTACATTGCGGATAATTACGAAAACCATGGATCAGGATCTACCATGGATATTATTTGTACTAGAATTATACATAATCACTATGGTCATGCAGGTTTCAGTGTAGTTCAGTTGGCTTTGGAAGACGTTGCTCTTGTCATTACTAGTGTTTGCCCCCGTCTATTGAACAAAACGAAGATCCTGTATGTGCCCGTTCTTGAATCATTCAAAGCCCGGCTTCACACAGCGCAGCAGTACATCATGAGAACCTGTGTTAGAAGGATCATGGTCTTTGATACGCCTAACTTTTCAGTAAGTGAGTGCAACATGTCATCTTTTCTTGGCATAATTGCAGCCCTCTTCACGAAGAAAACCATTTTGTTAAACGACTGACTTTATTGCACAAAATCATAAGCACCTCATAATGCTCCTGTTTATAGCCCATATGATCTTCCATGTTGGGGCTATATGTCAACTACATGAAGGTTCTCAATTGATACTCCTTAGTATGAATTAATTGAAGTGAGCTTATTTAGACCACATCATAGAAGGGTCTTTGTTAAATACAGAAATATAATTTTCGCTCACGGTTATTTTCAACGAGAGCGCCAAACAAATCTTGGCACGCATAAGACTATTCTTTCCTATATTTTCTTACATTAACCGAACCTCGTACAGTTAGAGGAAGTTCAATTGAGAGTACAAAGGTTTAAGTGTTTTTTTTTTAATAACTGGCCTATACTAGATGAAGAGAACGTACATATTCAATTCTGAATCAGTTGAGGATCTAGTTGCTGAGAAACTCGTTATATAATAACAAGTTTCTGGATCATACGTAACGTGTATAATAACAATTTCAGAGGTTACGAAACTTCGTCAGAAAAGCTTTTCATTAATAAGGTTTACTATTGTTATATTTAATTTTGTTTACGATCAATGTCACAGTAACGAAGCAATATGGAAAGGTTAGTCGCTATTAAAATAAGCGTAGTTTGGCCAAATTGCTCTGACGTTTGATGCGTTGTTAAAGAAGCAGAGGAATTTTTGCAGCTCAAAAGCAGGAAAATATCTACTATGATCAGAGCGTAAAACGACTGGGCGATGGTATAGCTGATTAGTTTAAATATATGACCGATCTAACGAAATATTACTGGAACGTTCACTTTTAGTATTATCGCGTAACGCTTCGTATTTCAGACCAGATAAAAATTGGGTGTCTAAACTTTATGTAGCTTGAACACACCTGGCACCAGATTCATCCCTGCGCCTGTTAAAGAAACATAACACGATTTCTAGTGATAAATTTGTTTCAGTTGCCTAATTAGACGTATGACAGCAACTCTGCAATTACAGTTGGGGCAATTGCTTAAGTGTCTAAATGATAACACTGCGTTATGCGTGACAATTACTCGTCAACCGCGTTGTTCGACGGTAGGTAGGGTAAGCGGAAGTGCCGGAATGTCGTCTGCTTGTTAGAGGCTGCGCAATAACAAACGGCTTCAACAGCGGTTAAAAGCTATCAACATTACTTTCGCAAAGGTAAACATAATATTTAATAGCTACGTTAGAGCAGCCACACCGTATCACCAGCTACTTCGACAGCGCTGACGGCCGACAGAAGTCCACTTTTTAGATACTACCAAAACAATCGCGTCGCAAACACTACGGAGCACTTCTACCATATCTCGATTATTTCAGTATTCTTTAGTTTAGCTCTACGGTATTGCACGGAGTTCTGTTCATTGGTATAGTGCATATGTATACACTCATTCCATCAACAAGAAAATCATTTAGACATTCACGGAAAAAATCGAATTTCGAACGTCATTAATAATCATTTAACCATTTCATCGAAAATGACACAGTATTTTTCACTCAATCGACATCATTTTCTTCTAATCTATAGGAGTTAGGTCGCATAAGAAGATTTACCATACAGAATTTATGAGGTCTTGTGTATAAACTGCTTGTCCTCAAAGCTTTTGTATCACACGCGTATTGGATATGCCTGATACTGATATAACTGATAAGGATATGCCGACTAATCATAAGGCGCTACTGCAAACGCTATGCTTTCGCTGATTGTAGCTATCTGAGCACAGTTGCGGCCGCAAACGTTTTCTATATGTTTTTGCATATAGGTCATACGTACTCGTTGTAATGCACGTTTTTAGTAAATAATAACTTAATCTTTATATGGACTTTATTTAAAAATAAAGGTTGAAAAACACGTACAAGACAAGTAACTGATAAAACTAACACAAATACATGAATTAAAAGCGGGGGTCATGTATAAATCAGAGAATGTAGATTGAACACTCCAGCTACGCTGCAAACACATGCATAAGCCTTACTTCTCTTTGGGGTATATGAGTGTTACCGCGTTTTGTTGAAATTACGTCGCAGATTGACCATGGGCGAATTCGAATCAGGAGATCACCGCCAACTTCGTTACCCCCAAAAGCTAGCGAAGACCAGTCTGCCTGCAAAATATTATGTAGGTTTGTTCACTTTCATTGGCAAAAAACAAAGTGTCTATTTCAAGAATTAGCCCATGTTAAAATGGATCTACAGCGACCGTGATACGTAGGCCAAATCCTGTGTATGTCGCCCTATAGTGGCGGTAACCCAGAATGCGCAAGAGAAGCGCAGAATCGAAATGCTCTGAAGGAAATACATCATCAACAAATGTCGTCCATACCGAGAGCGCGGACGGGTTTGGTGTGGCAAAACAAGTTGGTGCTGACTTGTCTGTTCAACGAGTGGACTGTGGCACACAAACGGATAATGCGCCAACGAGCACAGTGGCAGCGTCGTTACCAGAATTCACAACGATTGAAGCGATTCTGGGTCGATCGCGCGCGACGCAAACCTTCCCACACGCGCGTACCGTGTTCACACGTTCGACACAGTTTCAAGCTCCAATTCGTCCAACCGATCAGCCAAGCACAGCCGCCCAAACTGAGACAACTGGTTCCGTAGCGGGAATGGCCGTCCCGTTCAATCACATCACACTTAGTGGTGACCGGCGTGGGGACGGCGGAGCGTAAGTGCCTCGCAGATAGTATTTCTCCTCTTCTGCAGAGAAAAATAATTTGGAAGACATCTGGGGGCTGCCTACTTCTGGTGTGCACAGTTACACCTAGCTACAAATTGAAGTCGTATTGGCGAAGCTCTAATTATTACAACATCTTTTCTCGTTTGCAGTCATTCATTTCATACACCATCGTGAAACCTTTATATTTCACCTTCCATAATAAGGAAAAAAAATACTCATGCGCACTGTTGAGAGATAACCATGACTGAAAACCGCATCAAGTGTACCAGTTGAAATTGTTGTTTTCTACGGCAGTGGCTATGTATTCGATCCTTGCTCCTTATAAAATCTGCTAGCTACTGCATTCAAACCCAATGCGTTGCGCTTCGCCTCGCAGGAGCCTACAAAGACTTTGTTCATTAAAATGTTTTCCTAAGTAGGAATTCTGTATTCGATTTGAATTAGACGAAAAGATCGTATATAAAATGTTAGTCTTTTTTTCAGGGGGCGGTTTCACGGCCCTCCAAGGGGTGCTGGCGTCTTTGGAGGCGCAGCGCAACGCATCCACCGGCCAGCGCGACGCGTGAATTTCATGGTCGCTGCGGAAAATAATAACAATGCCAATAACAGTTATCATAATACCAACAACAGCATAAATAACGGGGTGAACAACATCGAACGATTCGAAGCTGCCAGGAATCTGGCTGAAGATGTTGTCGTTATGGAAGGCTTAACGGCGTTACTTGAGGAACGTCTAAATTTTGCCGCGCTCCAAGCGAAGGCCACGACAATGGCGAAACAAGCTTCATGGGTTAATGCAAAAAGCTTAACGCAAGGACTATCTCTTTCGCATTTACTACCTCGAACTGGACAACGCAACGCAGCAATGCGTCAGTCCGAAAGGTCTGACGTAGCAACATCTACGAATATTCCTTTATTGGCCGGCGGCACTGTTCCTGGGTTTAGGTTCAATCCCCGTCGGGGGCTTGAACTGGGAACAAATCCATTGTATGTATCAGACCCACCCCACTCGAGCAACTTTAACCTTGAAACGAACGGTTTGGGTAAGGCAATTGTACGAATAATACCACCACTATCTGACAGACCGTCAGGAAGTGTATTTATACCAAAACTTTCTCCTTCACTTACAAAACTTCCCACGGTACAAATCAGTAATACGGCTGTTACCCCAGCAGCACCAACCTCAACCAGAGGCTCGATATTCCCCACACCTAAGGTTGAATCGCGGCCGTCTTTACTGTCAATGTTAATGCCCGGCTTAGTTCCACCCAACAACTTTTCGAGACAGTCAGCTGAATCAGCTAAGATGGATGTACTCGTTCCTATGGCAAAATTTGCTGCAAGCACTTGTCCAAATCGAAGCTCTATGACAGGCACTTCGACTGTACCTCTTCCCTCTACGATTCCCGGAAAAAGTTCGGCTGTAACTGTGGTCGCCGCAAGAGCCCCAGGGATTCCGTCTGCCGAACGCGTTGAGCCGCCGCGAAATACTACTGCGGCCAACAACGGGCACATGAAACAGTGACCATGTTTCATTTCGTAGGAAATGAACACGAAATTTATCATATATAACTTATTTACAACATTCACGTTGAAGGTTATGGGTGACGTTAATGGAGCGAATAAGGAACCTTCAAGGACGAACATGTGGCAGTGGGGTAAATATTTCGTAGGACTTAAAAAAAAGTGATAGTGTAAACGAACCGGGAGACAGACAGAAGCACAACATGAGCAGAAGATGCGAATCGAATTGAGAGAATCGCTGATAAATTAGGGACGTTAACACTATTAATGGGCTACATGTGCAACCCACTATATTAGTATAATAGTGCACTGGTATAATATCTCAGTCTGTGTATCTTATTACCCACCCAAGATGCTTGGGTGGGTAATAAGATGTTGTAGCACGTTTTGCTTCAATTTTTTGGCAGTACCGACAGATAAATACTGGTAGGTCAATATCACCGTAAATAAGCAAATCTTTAAAGTAAAATTAAGAAACGGTTTATTAATGGCGTCGGTTAAAGTTAGTGCAATATAATAAGATAAAATCTCTAATCAGCTGCCTTCAGGCTGATATAACGCACATCTTAACGTGCCATTTTCTCCGTACACGGTTTTAAAAAATATTTTGCAACAAAGATCTTACGCGAGTTTCTAAACCTACATAAGTGAGGTATAGACATTCGAATCATACGTACATTTTGCAATGGAAATGTTTCCTATTATTTTGCCAGAACGTATTAAAGAAAAATCTAGTACAAATCCATTGGCACCAATGGCGCAATTTCCGTTTTAACAAAAATTAGTGAGAAACTTTTGAACATTACATACATTTTGTTGTACGATAATACTCACTCTAATTAGAGCTTATAATTGATTGGTGAGCACCATATGATTCTCTCTAATTCTCTGAGTCAATAGAGAAGTGTTTAAGATAAGTATGTCAAAAGGAGATTTACTTTTATTATGCAGGAAAGAAGCACTCAATTCGGATTAGGTGGCGGGGAGTGTTTCAGCAGAGAACAACAATTTATGCAGGATCGTTATACAAAGAGGTCAGTTTTACAATATGAAAGTATGTTTATACATAACCCAAAGAGTATAGTATCCTGTCCGTTACTAGGCTGGGTGTTATAGTGTTTATTGCGTAAAATAGCACACGAAATACATATACCGAGTCTTTCAAGATAATTAACTTATAATCATTGCAAAGAATATTTTTGTTTCATTGCTCGAGAAAATAACGAAATTTAAAAAAGATTGTTTGCCGAGTAACCAAGAACTAGGTATGACGTACGTTTGATAAGAAGTGTTTCAAAAATGCAAAAAAAATGAAACCTTATACGATGTTCGCGGTACTTTAGATATCTATATCATACCAGGAAGAAAATGAATACAAACACATAATATATTTATTCTTATTTATATACATATATTTTTACATATCTGAGGAATATGCAGTTTTTCTGTTCACCCATTGACCAATTGAACAAAATATAAGGTTATTCCCCTTCTCGGCTTTTCAAACAACCGTAGAAGCTTTTTCGTTTGTATTAATCAAGCTGGGAAAAACAAGTCTTCCAAAAGCTCTACTTTTCAATGGAGTTAGTGTTTGACGTCAGGGCCTTAACGGTACCCTAGTCAATACTGCTAGTTCTTCGTAATTAAAAAAAGCGCTTAAATATACAGAGAGCGTTCTCTCACAATTTCCGGGTTCACCAGAATTACGTTTTTGGTGGACACATAATATTTCGGTCAGGCGGTACTCTTGAAGGAGCTACAACAGCTGTAGGCATCGATGCAATCCTTTGATTATTTGCAATGCATTTATCACCGAATCTCCCCTGAGCCTCCATGGAATCGTTCTCACCGAGGAAGCCATATGATGAACATGGATCTGCGTAGAAATTGCACAACTGACTCCCAGTAAAGTACGCTTCGTACGGAGATGGCATAGCAGGACGCTGGGAAACGTCGCCAGCGTCAGTGTTCCCACTTGAACTTATTCCCTGATTTGGGTGTGGTACCATGGTAGGCGAACCCATAATACCTGCCTTCACGGGACCTTGGATGCCCTGGATTTGACCACCGTTCGACCCAATATTTGTCCACAAAGGATAGGATGAACCATCAGTTGGGTAGTGCGGGGCTAATCTATGATCCTGTGCTGTCTGCGATGAAGGCACCGTAGAAGTTTGTGATCTTGGTTTGGAAGGTGGCATAGCAGCTCCTATACCCATGTGGAACGAAGTCAAGAAGTTACTTGCCATTTTCTGCAAATTTCAAAAGGTAGTGCAAAAATACATAAATCATCTAAACATAATTCAATTCACAGCTTAGCTATAGCTTTAGAATAGTGTAATCTATAAGAGAGTAAGAGATGTACGATCATAAATGAACAATGGAATTGGCAATCCACTAATACATTTTAGTGTTAAAGAAATCAGGTGCACAAAAAATGTGACGAACCGGTACTAACCGAAGGATCTGTGCATTTAAGAGGTTGGAACATGTCATGAGTAGCTAGGTTTCCTGTGGGAGCCGACACTCGCGTGGGAACTTCGTGTGCGCTATGCGAAAGTAGCGACATCCGAGGTGCTTTTTCAATGCCGACAACAGCGCCCATCTCATTCAATGCCACTAAAGCTGCTGCCGCCTTGGCCAGCTTTTTGTTAGGAGATCGCTCCATTGACTGATAAGGCTTGCCGTTAACCAATACCCTGCAATGTGAAATACGATATGGTCAATACTGCTGAATTTACCAGGTACAAAGTCACTCACATAGAGTTAGTATGAATTTGTAGTAAAATCTGTGGCGAATTTACTGGCGTGTCAGTGGCCTAGAAGAGCTTTAGCGAACGAATGTAAAATGATTCACTTAGCGTGATTTAATGGCTAAATCTTGAGACATAATTTATTATAAATTATCAACGGAACGTACTTGTACAGAAACGTTTTCTTGTGATCGGGTCCGAAGGCCGGCATTTCAATGAATTCAGGTGCAGGAAGTTTCTGGGCTGTACAGAGTTCAATCAATGCCGATACCGGATGCTTTCCACCCAACGAAGTCGCTAGGACTTCCTGCAACTGCGCGTTCGCACGAGCAGACCTGATCGAACACAAAGCAATTTCAAAATTTATTTACTCGAAATGAGAAATATAGTACAATTGCAATAGACATAATTTTCTTGCGAATCTACCAAGTAAGGTGCTTACTAAACTTCTATTGTACTTACCGGTTAGGAATGGTGACATTAACACAAAAATCTTTAGCTATTGCTTCCTCCTGGGCCACCAGGCCTTTGCGATCCATTTTGATAGCTGGTAGAAGGGGTTCTAACGCACCCTCACGGTTTTTGCCTGATACCGTTGAGAAATAATTAGCGTTATATATGTAACGTCTTTTATTAAAGGATTAGTTCCCGACACTAGTAATTGCTCCGGTGGCCAAGTCCCCGAAACGAAATACCTTAGTGAATTGAATTACTGAATAACGTCATAATTTGAAAATTTCTATCATTGGTAGTTATCACTAATATAGCAACCTAGAGAATATAAGTATAAGACTTTTATGAATAAGTAGAATCCTTAAATCAGCAATCCATAACAACATGTACAAACGCGGGCACTTGCTAAAATCACAGATATGTAGCCTGTATAAGTGTAAATTCCCTAAGTCAAAAGGTAAACTACAGAAAAAAGCAAACTGTAATAATTTATAAGGCAACTACGCTTATCTTCTGGGCAACGTGCATTGGCGGAACCAGTACAAAATAAGTCATAATAAACACGCGCATACTATTCATGCTTCTTTCATAGCAAGCAACTAACCTAACGCTGTTCCCGGTTTCCAACCCATTTTTTGAAGCAATGCCATTCCAATGCCGCCTTCAACAGCTCGAGCTTTTTGGAGTTGGTCCTTTTTGACCCAGGCTTGTGGGCCTTCCTGGAGTTCTGCTGGCGAAAGGAATTTTACACTTGTATCAACCGCGTCTGAAAAAACAGCGGAAATAAATGAAGCGTTTTTTTCCAAATGCCACGCATAGTTATAGCAATCTGTAAATTATAAAACCGTGTAGTTATCTAGTTATGTCATATAAAGTAGCTAAACAAATATTTCGGGAAACTTAGAACGTAACGGCTTATAGATGGATTAAAAACAAAATAATTTTAAAAATATATACTATTAAATTTCCTCAAGGTACGTTTTTACTGCACAAGTTTTTTGCAAGCCATTCCCGAAATTCAACCATTTAGCAAACTGTTTATAGAATTAACTGAATATTGATTGAAAATTACAGAGCAATATACTTTTTCATTTCTCATTGGTGGCTTTAATCAAGGAGCTTCGCGAAACCTCACTTACTTGTAAGCTGGCCAGGCTGTTGTTTACTGCGGCTCCATTCACGTATTACTTTTTCAGTTACCTCATGGAGTTTTTTTGCATCCAAATCTGCAGGGTCCCGTTGCAGCCTCTGAAGAGCTTCTACTCTTTTTGTCATTACCTGTAAACCATTTGTAGGTTATTTATAAGGGCTGAGTTATCTTTGTACGCTGTATTATAGCGAATACATTAACTAAAGCGTGAGAAGAATTCATAACACTCGTCCATGTAACTTTGCTTTGTAAAAAAGTTAATAAATTTTGAAGGGGGTACATTTTGTTTTATTCATAAGTCCTTTAACGCACCTGCGGGATGGTCATATTTTTTAGTGCTATTTCGAGGTCCTTGTCGCGACATGGTGAGGGGGCAACGCTAAGTATTGGCTTCGAGGAGTTTTCACTAGCGTCCAAGGAAATTCCGCTGGTCAGTGGGGCCATAGCTGTACCAATATCCTTCTAAAATAAACACACGCCAAAAGAAAACCGATTACTAGCCTGCGACTGGCGACTTATACTGAATATCCGGTATATAGTAGATTTTCATGAATCTCTCCGTACACATTCTTGGCGAAACCGCGTGCAGGTGTTCCTATGGGATAGACTACTGAAATCGACTTACAAAACTAGCAGGCAACATTACCAGGATATATTTCGCAATGTGGACGTTTCAATTGTAGGTTGTATCTCATAAATACTGACTCTACGTCATTATAAGCAAATATTTAAGGCCCTTTTTTAAGTCTCTGAGCCCATCAACTCCATAGTCCTGATTTTTGTGCCTCTTTGTGATCTGGTTGAAACGAGTAGAATTTCCGAAAAGTGTTCCGCAAGTTTTTGAAACATTTCACTACATATTTCTGGTACCTAATTTTGGATTTAAGTAAATACTAATGAGAAAAACAAATTTTCTAGCAATCAATTCACATATCTCGTGAGAGAAGGTATGTAGGACAAAGTTCACATGAAGAAATGGTTTGCACCTAGAGAGTCAAAGAGTCTAATAAAACGTAAGAACTAGCTTTTTACCATAAAAAAAAAAACGCGGAATCAAAAATAATGTTTTCGTAATTTTAATGGAAGGTCGATGTCGAAGGATTTCTGCCATTCTCACCATTGGGCGGGTTAGGGGCTCTTTTTTACCGTCCCATTTGTAAAGAAACTCATTATTAAACTAAACCTCTCAGATAATTCATCCGTCATCGAGATCGTCAGAGAATGTTATTATGTTCATGTCTACGCCTAGCAATAACTTAACTTTTTAATAAGAATCCACACGCTTATAGTTCATAATATAAAAGAAATTAAATCCACCAATCTACAGAAAAAGAGACATCTCGAGTTTTTTGCACAGTGAAGGCTGTGTACAACATATTCGTGGAGAAATATCGCCTTCAAAACAATTTTTAATTAATTCTACGGAGCCCTGCAATAAAAACGTGCTATGACCTTTATTTATGTCGTTCCTTCCCCACCCTTTGTGATGCATATGAATTCGATCAGAAGACGTAGTTGGTGTTAAATGATATTGCGTACTTCTCCATAATGAGAAGTGCAGCCATCGCAGTCTTTTGTGCTTCACAAGAAGTGGTAGCATTTAGTTCTTTGATAAAGTTTTTCAAAAATAGTAACAACCTTCAACTAGGTAGTACATATGTGTGTTGGATGTGTCTCTCAGAAGTCTGAAGAAATCTGAATTCGGGCATCACCTGCGTTTTACCCACCTTTATTGTTTTGCCTGTATCCTTAGTATCCACGCTGTCTTTTGTAGCCTCTCTACCTTTCTTTACCGGTTTCCAATCTAATTCCTTTCTGAAATTAAAGTAAAACAGGCTTATCTAACATTAATAAACAGGCAATTACTGAAACGTGTTTACTTGTTTTTCAGCTCACTTGTGACATACGGATGTGCTATCTATACCGTTTGTGTGACACATACGTTTTAACGCAATCAAATAATTACACTTGCATTTCATTTTTGCGATGGGTGCTTCCACTGCTTACAGGAAATTGAGCTGTAAGCGCCGCCGTATCTTTTATCTTTTCCTGCGGAAAAATCGCAAATCAAATAAAGCTTTACTTTTTGTACTTTCCATATTTAGACACGTGCTACAAAAATATTTCAAACTTTTATCTTTTTAACATTGACTGCAAAAGCCGCAGAGACTATGTTTATTTAATTTATTGACAGTACGTGAGGTATAACTTGTAAAACCTAACGAAAATCAAATTTGAGTCCGAAACCTACCCGAGGCAATGCATTTGGCGGTTTCAATAGAAGACATTTAAAAATTAAAACATGTTTCTGAATACATAATTTATAATTTTTCTGACAGCAATTGTCCGCTTAAAAAGTTATTGAGCAGGCATATAACAATGACAAATACTGCACTCCAAGTACATGGATTGGTTTACTTACAATCACTAACAATATCTGTAGTAAAACATAGCTCCACCAAGTTAAAGTTAAAAATCAATACCTGAAAAGATTTTGCTGGTAGTTGTACTGCATTTGGAATATTCATTCTAATCGGCCTTTCCTTCACCTGAAATGGATGGCTGACACGAGCTGTAATTGCAGCCTCGCTAGAAAAGGTAACAACAAGCACTCATTTTAGTCACATAAAATTAGATCGATGCTGAAAAAAAATCCGCGCTGATTCCATTCCAAAGTGACCATTCAGGTTTAAGTCGAAAAGATATCTATGGATACGTATCTATATAACCATTAGTCAAGAAACGTAATAAACCGTATTAAATTTAGTTGATTTTTGGACCTTTCGTCATCGCTATGAATCTGTCGCAAAGCTAATGACTTGAGTCTGTTTTAACATAGGAAAAGATGAAAGTTAATCATTCAACTTACTCATCGTCACCGGTTTCCTGAATTTTTCTGCAAATCTCGGTGAATTTGTCTACACTTTCAGCAGTAGTATTTGCGTCTTCCTTGGTTAGATCTAATCCGAGCTTTTCCACATCCACTCCCTGTAAAAAGCTCGTATTTTCATTTTTTTTTTTCTTCGACATATTCTTTGACCTACATATATGAATTCAGCACATCCCACAGTTGTGACATAAGTAAAGAAGCAAAGTGCAAGATATAAAAAAATAACAAAACAAATCGTACAATAATGTTGAAATAGGATGCAGTAATCCCTAAATAAGTAGCTGAAGGCTGAATTTCTACTTGCAGATGTTTACAATGTTTTACAATTTTAAATGAATATTGGCCTCAAACCTGACAACTTCTTTGTGCACTAAACAAGCAAACAGTAAGTATTAAAATTTCATTTATCGCGGCACTGTATGTAGCACGTTCTGCGCATGAAGTTTCGTCGAAATACACTTTAATGTTACACTGATAAAAAAAAACATCTCTAAATTTATGTATGTCTTAAGCAATCTGCAAAGCTCACCTTAGGTAACGTCCCTGTTTGAATCATTACTTTCACATTTCGTCGAGCAACTTCAAGAAGCTCCTTTTTATCAAAACCTGCTCCGAGGCCAACTTCTTCGTTTTTTCGACCTTCGCCAGCACGACTGCCTCGAGCCGCAGATTCTCGTACACGAAGAGGACTCCGGAAACGACCTAAACTTCGTGATCGATCTGTGAGAAGACATATGATCCAAATTATTCAAATTTTATAGCTTACATCCATATATCACGTTAGCATTATGTGGTGCACGTGACCACAACATTTCAATTTTCCAAACAGCAAACGCATGCGATCTAACATAATGACAACTTGCTTAACTGGGCCCAACTAGTCAAGGGGTATTCTAAAGTATCCACTTTTTAACATACAACGAAGGTAAAACCTCGAGAACACTAGGTTTTCTCATAAAAACCTGTGACGATATAAAAACCCCACGGATCAAACTTCGATCAAAAAAAAGTTATGGTATAACAGTCCAAATACGTATAAATGACATAAAAGACGTGTCCAACTGATACGCTACTACAATGCATTATGTACGTTTTTCAGAATGATCAATACATTTGTTATACAACCAAACATAGAAACTATACGCGATACCACAGAGATTATTTCAAAGCATTAGATTTATGCTACCTCTTTTCTTTTTCTGTTTCGCGTCCTGATGTCTCTTTTCTTGTTTCCGATCTCTGCTTCTGCTCCTACTGCAGCGACCGTCGGAGCTAGGTTCTCTGCTCCGTCGTCTTTCGCCTCGTCCTTTCGAACTTTTTCTGGCTCGATCTCTCGATCTGTTTCGTCGATGCATGGATCTACCGCCGCAATCCTCATCACCACCACCGCTACTGCTACAACTACTGTTCTGATGAGTGTCATTCTTGCGACCTGAACGGCTACGATTATTACGACTCCTGAAATCGTTTATTATTCGATAACAGGCTTTTTTCTCGCATCGGGACCTCAAAGCATTAGGAGTATGAAAAATAAAACGCTTTACTCTGTAACCTCACGTGAAGGATAAGAACGAACAAAGAATTCACAAGTATTAAGACTGGAGAAAATTTTTACAGAACATATAATTTTACGCATTACGAATAATTTCAGCTTATCGCTTTTTTTACTATTAAGTAGATATCAGTTTCCAGCTGCTACCTAAGCTTAATTCAAGGCATATTGTGTTTTTAAAAACATCGCCGAACCACGTGAAAGCCTAGCCATTTTTTTGTATTACAGATCTTCAGCAAAGAATTAGTTCGCTGCATCTTAAGAAGACATATGTTTGGTCACTGATTTCCACCTTACCCTGAATCGCCTACTGCTTAAATTATATCGTGTAAGTGAAACGGACGTCCCAGCTCACCCTTCCAGATAACAACATAAAATGTATACTCTGTTTAAAAAACGTAATAAATGCTCAGCTTGTTTTTAAATCTTGTTTCTCACCCTGATGTTTATTACACATGTACGTGTACAAACAAACCTTTCGGGTTCTCGATCTCCGTCCTTAGATTCTTTAATCCTTGAATCGTTTTCAGTAGCTGTGCGGTTTGCTGTGCAATAGTTCTTGTTGTCTGTGGAGTTTTTTGACGATGAACTTTTTGAATGACTGTGTTGCTTGTCATACGAATGGTTATGGTGTTTGTGTTTTTTTGTCTTCTTTTTCTTTTTGGTCTTTTTGTCCTTTTTACTTCGCTTTCGCTCAGGACTACCTTCAACGTTCTCAGTACGTGCACGTTTTTCCGTTTTCTTGTTGTCATCTTCGACTACGTCGCCACTGTCACTTGTTTTCCCCTCTGATAGAACACTCTGACCGTCATCACCGACTGAAAGACCGACAATTATAGTACAATATTATGTATATTTATTACGATTGTCATTAAACCCGACAACAACACCTTAATGTTACCTAGTATTAGTTGCTCTTTCGTTAAATATTACTATATTTTACTGCTTATATCACATGGATGAACGAATACTGACAGACATTCATCGAGACTGTGTCTTGTTGAGTAACGAGATTTTATTTGTATCACCGATAAGAGCAATAATATAACTAAATAGCTAGATTGCATAAACTGGTCTCAATGACAAAGGTACCGCTGCCAATCCCATACGGAAGATATTAGCTATAACAGAAAAATAATTTCATATTGTATGGCGCATACCATGGCCCTACCACTGTACATTTTGCCTTTGACATAATAAGCGTGTTATTGAATTGATTTGAATAGCCGCAACATTTTGTAGACATATAACCCTATATCTTATCTTTGATGCGGAATTGGCTGGTTTTTAAGCATTAGTAAAATGGCGAAGGCAACCTTTAAATGAGAATTAGCTCTACTGTCGACTTCAGAGGAAAAACAGAAAATTATTACAGTTATTTATGACAACCTTCACCCACTCACCTCCTATGCCTTGCCGAATTTTGTCCTTAAAATAGTCCGCTAAGATGTTGGAAACGTCAAACTGTTCGCCTCCGTTGGAGGCATCAGTGTCTTCACTTGTCATAATACTACTTCCCCTTGACAAGTGTTATCTACAAATTGCACAGGCTAGCAGTATCAATCAAATGCTGAGTGTGGAGCGGCATTACAGGCTGACGACAGGGATGTTTTTCGATAATCCAGTGGTCAGCTAAATAGGTACGGACTGAAATCAGCCACCCGGATAATTAAATATATTTCACTACCCGAGGCTATTGTATAATAATTAGGACAATTAGACGTGTTTATGCACAAAACACACTATACCTGACATCATACGAAAACATGAAGGTTTTACTGTAACAGTACATTTCGACAGCAGAGCACAGAAATGATATATCACGTTAACCATTAACTTGAAGTCTAATACATATAAAAGTACGATAATAAATTCGTCTAGAATATCATTTTTGATTACAAATATTAACAGGGCAGATGTTAATAAGCCGGCACTGATCACCTCTTGTCCAACGCGAAAACATTGTGCCGTAGGAACTTATTGTTACTTTAGCACAACATAAACTTACAATTTATAATGAATATAATTATATATATCGTCCGTAATATTGTGCTTTACATATTAATCTTGGTCTGCTAATTAAGCAAGAACAAATATTAAATTTCGTCCTTGTTCCGAGTTTATAAAAATGAATTTCGCTGCTTGGGGTTCGATTGGGTGTGTTGATAAACAGCGCGCGGTTCTCTTAAAGGATACAATTCCAAAAATTAGCCTCCTTCTTGGGGTGGGCTGATTTTAAGTCTCATGGCGCGAGAGCCAGAGCCGAGTTCTCTTGCTTACTTGCCTCATGTATTCTGAAATCTTGTTAACAGTGTGTATTATAGTGTTATCGGTCTTGTGCTGTGTGAATAGTAGTTCTATAATCGGTAACAATAACCCATGACTTTTTAAGCTTCTTTTAAAGTAAATGTGTTTATTTATTAAAGGTAAAGTTTTCGCTCCAGCTTTAGAAGACATATCTCAAGTTATATATATATATACGCTAAAGCGGTGTTATTCCTCAAAAAATTGATTCTCGCTTGCGGATCTGTTATATAGATATCACCCAAAAATAAATCAAAAGCTGCAAAATTTATAAATCATATATGATATAACCTTGCTTAATTCAATGTTTTTACATCATCAATAATGTTGAAAAGGTGAACTGATTTTTGCAAGCCTTGTGCAATGTAGTCAGTCATTGCCTTTCTCGTAGGTTACCCGATGTATGATGATCGTTAAGAGTATTACTTATGAAAGGCGGACTTTCAATGATGGACGGTTCTACAGGCTTCGATTTCCGATACTTGCCATTAAATTCCAAATTTGGGTGATTCACTCGGCTAACAAGTAATGGCCAATCTCGACGCAGAATCACATGAAACTTTACTTTCAATTTGGCTCTATGTCAGAATTAATACGACTCGAAACATCACTTTTGAAAATTCATCTTTATGCTGCTATAAATTTAGAAATGAAATCTACTGCAGATAATTCGACTTCTACAAGTCAATAGATGGCTTCCCTTTTATCCGGAGTATTTCTCAAGCTGTTAAAACGTACTAGATTTTTGGAGTTAATTAAATAGGCCTACAACGTGGACAAATGATATCATTACAAAAAATGAAAAATAGATACAGATAATAGCATGCTAGTACGGTGACTGATTAGAGAGGTTAATCAGTCATATTTTCTGACAACACGATCTTACCCATCTAATTTATTACCTATAGTTTCCTTTATATATCCTGTTTTTTCTACGTTTGTGAATTTTTAGATCCAAAGGTGGACTGTTAATTGACATTGTATATATTCATCCGAGGAATATAGATTTGTACATAACTTGATTGGCACATGTTACTTCCCCACTAAGTCGAACATTAGTAATACTATTCATGTTTTAGTTAGTGCAAATCAACTAAGTGATTTTCCACATAAAGATTCCTACATATTACATAATGAAAATTTAGTGCGATTAACGTTATGTATATATATATATATATATATCTTTGATATATTATTTTATCTAAATACAAAATAACAACAATCTTATTTTAATTAGGCTAAATAAAAAACGCATTTCGTTGATTTCGACAATCTTATTACGCCTCTAATATTCAGTTGACATTTTATTGGTATTACAAAGTCAATGTCATTGTATACATATATAATTCGGTTAATTAAACAAAGTGTTATTTGACTGAAGCGACTGACTCATGCGACAAACAGGTCGCTTCGCTCTGCTCTACACAAACAGAGAAGGACAGACTAATGATTTGATCGTTATTGTCCCATTATTACAGTTGATTATTATTACCGCTTGCTAATGAGAATGACATTCTGGGCTGATTTCCAGTTCGAGATATTTCGAATAAGCGATTTTTACAATAATGTGGTGGAAAATAGAGATGAAAATGTTGGGTGCATATGTACAATAGCGAAAATATTGTGCTCTTATATACGTTTTGAATTTTTTTCAGTTAGTGTAAGTTGACTGCGTATTCATTGCAATCATCCAACTGGGACGCGTTTATCTGTGGCATGTCGGAATAGCTATACAAAAGAGTATCGTCAAAATGGTCATGACTGTCAAGACTATGTTAGGGTGTCAATAATGATTCTAATGCCATACACATAGACCAGTTACAGCTTATAATGTTTGCATTTCCAGACAGATTAAATATACAGCTGGCTCTGTTGAAACTGCACTAGCTATGGCAATTGTTCCTCGTAAATTATTAAAAACCCTGTCTTGAGCGCTAATTCGCTTCTTACTTAATCGGGTTACGTAGCCACCTTTGTTTTTATCGCGCGGCTGCAATCTTCTTGCTATCATGCAAAAGGAAGGTAAATTTATTTAACTCTATTCATAATTAATTACGCTCTCTATCCACGTCGGTCAAACAATAAAGCTCTTCCGTGTCGAAATCGAAAATACTTATTATATCGAAGGTACAAGTAGATTTACATATATGTCTCGCGAGATTTTTTACGCTCACCAGCCTCTTCTGCAACTCATGTTTGTACCGTCACATAGTCGAATCGTATTAATAAAGCATTGATATATATCGTTTATTATGCATTAATTTGGGGGATTTTCGGTTGTTTACTTGTAGCATATTCAGTTTACTTGTGAATATTTTACTGTGGGTCTGTTCCATTCTACCTTATTGAACGTAGCTGTTTAGCCGGCTTTAATGGAACTTGTACTGTTATTATGATTCTTAACCATGCGTTCTACACGCTCACAGAGCGAATTCACATCACGATCTTTATCAATTTTCACATATTTAACATTGCGCACAATTATTGGCTTGTACCACTCCGGTGCTATTTCTCCCACCCGTGACATGAGGGCGTCAAGATTGTCAAAAGGACCGCTGTCTCGAATTTTGGATGTTAGATCCGTGTAAAGAAGTGTAGCTTTCTTTGACGTTAGAAACACTTGGCGGATGGCCCGCATCAGTCCAGGCAGTGCCTGAAGGATGCGTCGTTCCTTTTCATCTTGTCCACCCATCACCATTTTCTCAGCCATTTTAAGAGCCTCTTTCTTGCGGATTCTTTCGAGAAGACTTTGGCTCACACCGCTAATAGTAACCGTTTTAGGCGTCAATAGCGTATGACTGGAAGGCGCTATCGTTTTTCTTTCAGCTTGCTTTTCGGCTAAAGTTTCAAGCGCTTTTTCGATCCGGGTGGAAAACTTACCCCGTATTTTACCTAGCACCTCTTGAGCGTTGGCAACCTGACTCGCTTCCTGCAATTTCGGCAACTCCTTTTCCGGTATATCGGGTATAGAATCGAGAACAAACTTTGGGTGCCATCTCTTAATTGCTTCAACAGGAACATCCGAACCAGGCATCTCTTTGTCCAGGAACTCCTGGTGATACTTAGCCACTCGCAATAATAGCCTATCTTTGAAGTCATTTTTTCGTTCGAGTACAAATTTAGGGTTTTGTCCTAGTGGAGGATTAATGAATGACAAAATGTGGTGCATCCTCTGTGTAGTGTCAAGGAAACGATGCTGTTCTAGAGATACGAGGTATGCTTCAGGCTTAATGTGCAGGATTTTGCCAAGATGTGACAGACTAAATTCGTGCCGAGTCATACTTCGTACTGCTAATGACAGCTTGTCAAAGCGACAAAGCTCTTTACGATTGTGGTACATCGCTACAACAGTGTCACATGCCCGAAAACCATCAAGCAGTCGCTGATAGTGTACAGGTAGCGGCAGAACACCAGCAGGTGCTGTTAGATAGTCATACTTTTCATAGGCTGGAACGGCGGTAGGTCCAGCTTCACGTACCGGTTTTGTCGCCTGAAATTCTTTTAGAGCTGTTTGGTCTTTCTCGAAATGACGTAGCTTCTCCCTGGCGGCCCTCAAGGTGGCTCGTTTTGCCTCGAGCCTTGATAATGTACTCTGAAAACAATAGTACGTATTCCAGTTATAGTAATAACAGGCTTGTTAATAGGATATTGAAATATGAAGCACACATGGCAATCATTTTAAGTATCTTTGAAGGGAAGAATTTGCGTGTTTAGACAACATCTCATTTGACAAGCTATGTTACTGGCTGCAGTTAATATATGTGACGTTCTTCTCAATCTTTCCGAGTGTCATATCTACCGTGAATGATCGACGAACCAACATGCTGGTTCTTAATTCTACTTGGCGAAACTGCACGAGAAAATAGGATTAAAAAAATGAGACTTTGCCCTCAAAACGTGCTCGATATCAAGCGGATCTACAAAACTGTAAAAATAGATAGTTAAGACTAGAAAGCGTCGCGTTTAACTTCGAACTCAGTTCAACTGATCACTTATGATTGTACGAATAAGCCCATCCAAATTATAACTACTGGATGAGATCTTTCCACCGAGAGTGCAAGTAAAATAGCAGTCATAGAAAAAGCAATGCGCTGTCATCGGAATTTGAACAAAGTTCAATCATTACCTAATATAATATCTTCATGCAAGACAAACTGCCACCAAAATCAAAAACTTCCTTTTTTGTTTGCAATTGACGTCCTACGCTATTGGTGGTTGCCATATGGCTTCCACAAAAATGGGAACTATTTTTATTAAGACTACCGAAAGATTCTTAATAGGGTTTCTATCTAAGGGGCTCAAAATTTCATTAAGTGGCGTAGAAAACGACATTTGATAATCATGGGTTTTTAAGTTCTCTTTTTATGTTTCCTGAAAGGAAAGTATCTATTACCAATCGAATCGTGCAAACAAGCTAGCGCAGTTAGTCTTTTCGAAACCTTCGCCCCTTTTAGACGTCCTAGGTGCTTTAAACAAAATTTGATTCCGCTGGGTTTTTTGTATATAGTGTAGTGGAGTGACTCTCTAATATGCCTATACTTACCGATATCGCTTAATGAACGGACACTATTAAAATATTATTTACGGATTATAAAGAGAATGACAAAAAAATAATATAAACAGCAAAAAAATTTTGAACTGAAAATTCCAACAGTGGAACGACCACCAAAACTAACTCTCTCAGTACATTGAAATATCTGTTTTTATTAAAATATAGTCTTCCAACCACCGTACAAGAAAGAGTCTTTTACTAGACGGGGCACTCTGCGCATCAAGTTCTACTTACGTAAGAGAACCGCTATGGTTTGTGTATGGTACCTATTGTGCCCATAAGAGAAGCACGTATAAGGACACAGACGAAAAACAATTACCTTGCCATTACTGCTGGAGGTTTTTTTTAGTGGAGGAGCGGGCGTTTCTTTACTGGACAATTCTTCGCTTTCTTTCTCAGCTCGTTTCGGAACTTGGCTTTCCGCGGAAACGTCTGCTTTTGGCTCCAAAAGGCTGGCATATCGCTGAAATGACGCATACGTCCACTAGATGAATTGTTTGCCTCGAAGATTATAATGTGAACAAATAGCTAATCAAGTGAGTCTTGTTATTTTACTTTGTAACCGCGTTGAGTTGAAACCAAACAGCGTGCTTTGTTTCTTTCCATCCAATCTATTTAACTTCAACAATTATTACAGAATATAATGGATACAGGGAGTTATGATATAAGGCACTAATAGCTACAAGGCAGTTGCTTGCATTGCCACTATGTTGTTTCATGAGTGTGTTGGAGGAATCTCAAATTGAACCTCAAAAAAAATCGACTCCGACTGGAGTCCCCACCTTTCAGTGGGGACAGCTCCTTAATTTTAAAGGGAAGAGGTAACTTCAACAACCTGTTCGCACGAATTGGCAAGTGTATTAAAGAAATTACACTAACGAGTTAGAAAAAAACATTTACGGCTTCATTGTCGAACGTATCCATACGTAAAAACAGAATAACTTTGTGAGCTTGCTCTTTTTCAGCACTCGTCGGTAGATTTAATCATGCTTATTCAGGAAACTTTTTAAAACAACTTTCGTCTACGGGTCGCTCTATATTTCTAGCTCTCTGCTTAGAGTACCCATTATATTCCTCGACCATAGTAGTGTTATTGAACAGAAAAACAATCATGACGCGAAATTTCATCTAATCCGCTTATTTTCGTAGTTGTCGTTATTATACATCGCACATACTGTCGTTCGGAACGCTTACTACAACTACTTCACCCAACTACTTCTATATGATTCTGTTCTATAACAGGTGCAGCCTCAGATATGTATCCTTATTTTCCTAAAATTATCCAGCTCTCTTCAATTTTCGTATTATCAATATAAGATTCTTGTTGATTCATGTGTTGTTATTTTGGCTACCCCTACTACCGCTCAGTCAGTCTCTGATCGGTAGCCTGGTGCTTAACTACGTAGTTTCACCAGCAGAAACCGCTCCGGCACGAAAGCCAGCCAATAGAAACCCACCGCGTTTCGCATCATATCCTGTAGGCGGCAACATAAAGTTATCCCTTTGCGAAGCAATCTAATACTCATAGAGGCGCCTTGTCGAAACGGCGCCAATTTGCCTAGAGCCAACATTACGAATGACCTGCTTGGTTAGCCTCCGCTGCAGTACTCCATGCTTGAATAGCTCTAAATAGTGTTGCCGAGCTTAGCAAGATATATAAAAAAAAATAATCACGCAATTTAATACAAGTTAAATTTATGTATTAATGCTTTTTTCCAGTTCATAATAAATCTTGCGTCTTATTCATGTTATTAATGAGACCACCATTATTATTATTATTATTTTGATATCAAAATTATTCTATACGTGTTTATCGTTCTCGTAACAGTTAACCTGTTTCCAAAATGCGCTAAGTAAAATTGAGCACCATTTTTAATAGATCACAATTGCTCCATCAGACCTTAACATTAAAACGCATCGTTGTGCATAAGGTCAATCTAGATAGAAAAAACTCAATGACAGGTATTAAGATAATGTTGGGAATGATCGAACCAGGGTTACAATCATCTACCGAAAAAGCTGGATAGCAGATGCACGTCACAAAAAGTACAACAAGGAGCCGCACCGATATAATTATGAGTTGGTGCACTCTTCAAAAAAGTACCTAGCAAATCGCGTTGCTTTTTTTACGTCCTTTAACCGTCCTTTAACAGCACTTCAATTAGACCTAATATTAAAATGAGATTGGATATGAGTCACATACGAAAGCTTATCGTGATCGTCGAGACGTGGCGTTTTTTAATGTAACGTTGCGTGGGGCACAAACAGGACTTGGCGAATAAATAGAAGCACGAACAAAGCGTCAAATCTTTAAACGTTAAGTCTGTCTGTTTGCAAAATAATCACAATGCGTCTCTGAAGTTTATTTTATTTTTCTCGGTAAAGGTTGATCGCAGCGGCCTACTATTCATGTAGACTATAAAATACACGTTACGCGGCAAACAGCACTGGCTTACCTGAAAAGCGGGGGGGCTCTCCTTGAGACTGACTGATGAGCGACAAACTTTTTTGGCTGCTCGGATCCCTTCAAGATCTGTATCAAGCTTTTTGAGTATTTCAAGCGCCTGACTGGCCTGTTTGACTCTTGGTCGGGTGGACTTTTTCGCAGAGAAAAAATCCGTTAGAGTTTGCTGTTGTCCCCTCGTGGCACTCATATTGGCCACGATACAGCACGAATACATTCGCATATAACCGCACACGCATACATTCACAAAGGTTTTCGATAATCAACTGTTGAGCGACCAGTGTTCTGCCCGAGTATACGGTCGTGTGGAAGAAGAGAGCCAGCAACTGGAGAGGACCGGAGAACTAGCGCCATACGGTGGAGTCATGCACGCAGACGCAAGGCGGGCAAGCGACTATAAGCACAGTTGGCCATTTCAGTGCACTTTTTGGCGCCAAACCAGGGGGCGCGACCAGCGACTTCAACATAATTTAAATTTGCTGTGGCGCGAATTCACCCAAATCAGATGCTAGACTAAAAGTAATTAGAAATTAGGACTGGCGACACTGAAAAACAGCGCATAGTAGGTGGCTATCTCTTATAGCACTGAAATAGACTTCCAGAGCTCCTCAAGCTTCTATAGTTTAAAAAACGAATTCAAAACGAAAATGTTTTGAAGGGCTAAAGCTGCGAGTCCGCGTCAGTCAGCGCTATTGTTGTACGCTAAGAACGGATTTTAGGCAAGCATGGACACTGGCATAGGGGTATTTCTCGTAATCTTCTAAGTGATCCCGTGTACATGCTTTCCAATTTTCCTATTTTTCTAGTCGTGCTCTTTGTTTCAATTGACTGTGACGCATGCGGCAAGTAGAAATAATATATAGTTCAAAAAATAGAAATCGCATTAACGAGCCGTTAGTGGTGAGTCATGGGGTAGTCTGGTCTGCTTTTAATTGGCTGCTAGCAGCCAGTGTTCCCGTTCGAACCCCCCAGCAGCCAGCTTTGTCATGCAACTGACTCATGTTTATGTATTCTTCCGTTGTGTGCCTGTAGAATTAAATTCTTAGTAAGGGGGGTTTGAATACTGCTTTCGCCAGCGACTAATTCGGCACGATTTGATAGAATCTTAATATAATATATCATAACTTGCATTCAGTTCTGCTTATTTGATTGCATTGCCTTGGAAACTGCGGCTTTACTTAATCACTTTCGACCTTGACCATTTTAATGTTCTCAAATTTAAGTCAACGTAGTGCTGAGAATATTTCTTTCAGAAGCCTATATAGGAACCATTACATTTTAACAATTGAATTCGTCTATACAGTTAAATTCCATCCACCACGTCTGTTAGCAAAGGCATTTTATAAGTTTCTGTATATAAAAGACGCTTATCACATTGACTCCAAAATACTACCTTGAACGTAGGGATTACTTGAGGGCCTGCTATATTGAGCAATCTATAATCTTTTTTACATAATGGTACATATTTGTTGAGTGAGACTTTAATACTTACTGCGTAATATACTAGATTAGTCAGTACCAAACACGTAATCTCGTATTTCAAGCTGATTTTATTTTATTATGATACATTTTACGAGACTTTTTTTCTTTTTAAGATGCACTGTGCTCTTTGAAGTCTGAGACCGTTCACTTGGATAGCGTCACCTTTAGCAGCTAGACTGCAATGAGTTCGGAAAGCAGTTTAGAAACAAATCAGTCTAACGGCAAAAACAGCTCGCCATATAAACCCTTGTGTTCAGTACCGAATCTACTAGTAGAAGCTTATAACCCGTTAGTTTAAACATCTCAGGAGAGACATTTAGAACTCAAAGGTAGGTCTTATGGAGGGGTCTTTGCGAAGATGAGTGTCGAATTTTTAGGAAAAGTGTACGTTATTTGATACGTTCCAGCGTCCAGAAATGTGATGGTAGGCAAATCATCGAAACTTTAAGGATGTTACTACTCAGGTTTAGTGTGTGTAAAAAAACATGTTTATCCTTCTGGGTGAAGTCAATTAGGTTAAAAATGGGCGAATGGGTTACGCACGAAGATGAAAGATAAAGCCATGGAGACCCTTGCTTCTCTTTACTTTCACGTTATAACTGTAAGCCATTCTTAGACCAAATTGTGATTGTGATGAGAAGTGGATCCTCTACGATAACTGCAGACGATAATAAAATAAATAAATGCAGGTGAACGAACGGCTTGTCAATCCAAACTAAACGTATGGGTGCAATAACTTATGGTATCTCTTCAACGGTCACAAGTTTACAAGTCACCACAACTTCATACGCCTTGATCCGTCAGCTACGGCCGAAATATTCTTTTAACAACTAAAAAAGACGACGATTAACCAGCCGTGCTTAGTGAGAAAGACTGAACCACCTACTCTATGGTCACAGTCGACCTTACACGGCAGGCATCACGCTACTGTAACAAAGATGCACGACCTATTATTGGAGACGTTCTGTGTTTCGCCATACTCGCCGGATGCTGATCCAACAAACTATTCTAGAATCCGTACAACTTTGTCATAGGAACATTGTTTAAATCTCAACATGAAACTTCATAGACTCTCGTACCCCACACTTCTATAGCAGCAAAATAAGTCCTTTGAATATGAAAATGGCGGAAAGTCATGGATAGTAATGGTACCTACTTCGACTGAAAACGAAATAACTGTTCTTGTGCAAGATGCTAAGAGTTTAGGATCTCGTACTTCATGCTAAACCTCCTCATATTTTAACGAGACACTTGCAATAGGTCATACGACCTATAGCGCGATCATTCGAAACTGCAGAAAGATTTCTATGAGATTTCGGAAGGAAAACAGGATAGATCGTTGCTTAAGAACGGTGATAAAAATACGGAGAACTAGAAAAACATGTTTCCAATAGCTAACAATAGCTAGGTGAGGTGATAGACATGGGTTCGATGGCAATTAATAAAGTTTGAATTAACAGTTTCTTTAAGCTTATTTCTTTTTTATATTTAGTAATTGTTGCATTATATACTCTTTTTAGAGAAGTATATATCCTATGACAGGTTCAGTTAACTATTGAGATATCGACTATTTATATTAGAAAATAACGCACATTTCGCTTAAATGCGATCACCATCGTAATCTCTATATGGCTTTTGGTAGTGTGGGCCTGGATGAGAGTGTTCCAAATCATCCGTCTTCGTTCTAATACAAATGCTTTATATTTCAAATTAATTAGCTTTAATGTCAGTTTACTACATTTCGAGCTCAGCATTGAAATCTGACTTTATTGAAAATGTTCAAATATGTACATTTTTATTTATTTACTTTTTTTTTTTTTAGTTCCAAAACTACGGACAAGTTTTGAGCGCTAGTCATCATTGTAATAAAGAGTAGTTCCGCCTAAATAACCTAAGTGAATAACGTTATCCTGTAGCACAGCCGCTTAAGTAGACGAGGGTCATTTTTCTATATGGCTGAAACCTCCAATTTTTTATCAGTGTAAATTAGAAATAAAAATATATATTTTTATTTCTAATTACACATTTTTATTTCTAATTTATTGTTACAGAACGCAGCCTGTACACACAGCCCGTTCTAAGGGACCGATCAGCTTCGAGGCAGTGTGATCAGTACCTGTCGCTTCCTCTTCTATCGTTCCTTTTATCAGGATATAAATACATTGTTTATAAAGGTATATGCTAGGGGCATTCGCTACTCATATTGAAAAAGTCCGCGGAACTATCAGAAAAGTGATCGGCCAGTTGTCGGGCGAGTAGATGCTCCAATGTCTCCCAGAGCTATTTTGGACGCTGTTTCTGCTGTAGCCACTAGTGTGGAATCTAGCTGTTACTAGTTACGCGGCTACCCGCTGTTCGTTCCAAGCGGCTGCAACGTCTGCCAACTAGACGGGCCGCCTAAGAACTTAGACGGCTGGCTTGTGCCTGCGTGTCTGAACCAGCCTACCCTAAGACATATAGAACATAATATTTTCGCGTAACTGTTTTGCTGTTTCTTAGCTTGTCTACGAAATAGTTACCCATGAACGTACAACCAATGGAAAAATAGTTCTTCCTGAGAACAGATATAGCCAGGAAGTGTTGGCTCACATTTATTGTGTACAGTTAGCGGTTGATTAGTTGAGATGATCATCAGGAAAAATCGTTTTCTATCCATAAAATCAAACGATACTTTTTACAAGTATTTGGTTGTCTCGCAATAAATTCGATATACTTCAACGCAGTTTTAGACCCAAAAAGACGTTTCGATAAGGCCTATCAAGATAGAGGCGACCCGATTACTTCTCTGGCAGGGAACCGCTTGAGAGCACCTAGAATTGATACACGGGCATAGTTTCAACTTCGGCGACGGCTGATAATGGTGAGACCTGTTTAACGATTGATTATTTTACACCCAGCCACGAGTTAACGATACGAATGGCTTTTTATTCTCATATTTTGATTTCAGCGTACACATCAATACAAATCTATAACTTCCTTTTGACCTACTAGGAATGAGTAACTTACGAAGTATAGTCACCATTACTAAATACTCTTAAAAAAGTAACTTTATCTTTTTCAGACCTCCGTCGTCAAAAACTGTTCTAATATTGTTCATTTTAGACCAAATTTACATGTTCGGCCCGTACGATTACAAAAGAAGTAAGTTACAATAAGAAAACATGATTGGACTGGATCAAGTTCCGCTTTAAACTTTAATTTTTTATTCGTGTTTGTCACCTGAGCACGTGCAAGTTCAAGGTTAAGACCAGTTATAGACTGTAGTCACAGCTTATATTAGGGCGCAACCTTGCTCTTCTACTTATTGAAATGGTTAACGCTCTCCCATAAGATTCTCGGGAAATCCCAGCGGAATTACCACTTATCACTTAGATAACTATATGCCCGCGTGCTTTCATGTTGACAGTTTTTTATTGTTCCTCTAGCCTTCGGCAGTTATCGGGTCTGCAATATGTGAAATTTGCAAGACTTGATTGCCCAAGTTATTTCTTATGTGTTGTGTTTAAGAATCGACTGAATAGTCATTGTATAAGCTACCGCAGTACTTCACAAACGAAAATAAACAAGTATGTATATTGATTAAATCGTCATTGAGGCATTAAAACAAGTTACTAGAAGCTATTGCTAGCAGTTGAAAACTTAGTAGTATTTTTCTTGTCCTGACGTGAGAAAGGCGACCTTAACTAAAAGGTTTTCGGCCGAGAAGGTCGTACAGTTTGATCATTAAACGACGGTTACGAGGGCGATGAGCTATACACGCCTACCTTGTGGCCACGCATCCTCTGCCACGTATTCCTCCGGCTGGTAGATGCTTTTGACTTGACATGTATATGATATGGTTTTCTGCGGGACCGCTACTAAATATAATAGAATTTATGTGCTCATAATTAGAGATGTGTATATTGATATAAGAGTTAACGTGTGGACCTTTCGGAGAGCGAATTACAGATTTGATCGCTTCCCACGATATCAGATCATCTATTCTGGCATCGAAAAAAATTCCGAGCTAATTTATTTAATGTATGCAGTCGTTTGAACCGCCGGAAAGCTAATTTTCAGCGTATTACAGTTATTGTTATAGTATAATGCGACTCAACGTACTATTTCGGACTTTTCTCACCTAGGGCATACGCGAAAAATATAGATAATCTTTAATGTGTACATAATTCATTAAACGCGAGCCATTCCGACAACTGGATGAATGCTTTTCAAGAGTGTGGGTTTCTTTCGTGAGCTGATAATTTAATTAAAAGGCGAAAATAAGATAAGTACAGTAGACTATCGAGACTGCAACAATTATCCAATGAGACAGCGAACGACGTCTGGCCTAGATAAGATTTCAGGCTGGGGCCGCGTGCACGAGGCGAACTTTAAAGAATGGGCTCGGGGTTATGACAATTCTGCTATTGACCTCAGCTATTTGTTCAGGTGTCTAATATAGGGAGCGCATCTACGGATCAGTTGTAATGTTACCATCATATACGAGTATTATAAATGGAGAATATATGATTCCTGTACTCAAATACCTACAACGGGGCAAGATAATTAATACAACAAGGTCACAGAAAAATTTCGACTGAGCTCCTGTAAAAGTATCGGTTCAGAATCAAACGATTGCTCTAGGTATAATTGGGTATAATATAGGTGACATGTTAGAACAGATTTATTAAGTTTGTTCAACGCTATAGCAGGACTGACGACGCAACTAATGGGAGAATGGGATTCATGAAACATGTTAAAATCCATGTAATACCTATAACATTCGTTCATGTGAAGATTTTGATTGAAAATCTAAGCCCAAATCTCTAATCTTGATCTTTTAAATGAATAGATGGTACATCGCGAACCTGTCATCATGTCCCGAAATCGCACCGCATGAGAAAGTATCTAACTGATTTACGTCTTCAACAGAAGAGTGTCTGGCCTATTTCAGGCCTTTATATACGAGTGATTCGGTAGGATGCGCTTAGAAACAAGGTTCAGACAGGGGGGCTGGCTAAAGCATTGTATCGTCGTCTATGAGGTGCGATTTTAAGGACGACACGTAGGTAGCGGTTGGACGGTTGTTGCATGCGTTACTCGAACGACCGAGTGCTTCGCTTTATTATTACACTACATAGTTACACAATGAACACATGACAATTTTTTGACTACCGTTCGATATCACCAACAGTAATAAATAGATATGGTAAAGGGGTGACGATACGTATCTTACCGTAGTGACCAATCAATAAGACTAGGGAGAACTGTGGTACTAAATTGATTCCTTAGCTTCAATTTGTACCACAAACTAAATATGTACCACATACTAACGGGTCTCAAATGGTATTAATGGTTGGGCTAAACTTGGACACCTTTTCAATTTTGCGAAATGTTTTAATGTAGCAATTGTTTGTTACATGTATATGTTCACACCGTGTGACAGTGAGACGACAACCAAACGTTGCAATACCATACCAAGAATTAATGTTTCCTACGTTAGACTTTATGACAATACCTAACACCCGTTTACGTTTCGTCGCATACAAAGTGACAGATATAATTACGTTTTTTTCACATTCTCATCAATTAAACATTTATTAGTAAATCATTTTTAGCCTATTCTCGCTTTATCTGATAGCTGAACATAAATATCGTTGTTCTCATAATTGCTAGTATTTATATGTACAAAGTTGTTGAATTATCATTACACATGCGTTTATGTATATACATTAATTGTTACACGATTATTTCCAGTAATAATTTCAATGCAAGGCAATCCAATGATAATAATGCTTTGGTGTTCCCCTTCAAAGAGTTCCCTTTCAACTCCTGTTCCACCTCTGATTTACATCGTCTCTTGTGCCATGAACTTCAATTGTTCCTACAATACACGTATAGAATGAATTTTGCACATTGACAAACACATCTATCTCACATGAAGACTTTTCGATCTCTTACAAATTGTATACGACTAGTTGGCATAAAATCATACTCGGCTCGATACGACATCTGTCTGCAATGCATCTCTATGGAAACGAGAAAAGTCAATAAAACAAACCCGAGCAGAAAAAAAAATGAATATCGGCATTAATGATACATGAGTAACCCCATAGTTAACTCGCCATATAATTGATTTCACTCTGCGGCCATAATGGTACGTGGAATTTATTGCAGCCGTAAAAACAGGACACTTGACAGACGACAAAAAAACTTGCTTGTCAATAAGGTAAAATCTGATAGTGTTTTTTCTCGTGCTAACCTAAAATCGCACATAATCGTATCTCTGATCGATCTTTTACGCGCAAGTATAGCGGAAAACATATTGCGTACTACGGAGCAATAGACAGCATATCTAAAAGTATGCTGCTCGTACCTTGTTTTTACTATCTGGTGCAGTTTGCAAAAAATGATTTCAAGTTAACTACAAAGAGTGAGTCAGTCAACCTTGACAATATCAAAGAACAAATAACCGTATTCGAAAATGCGTCAAAGAATAATTATTATTTTTATATCTAATTATATAAATATTGTTCGCAACTAGAGTGTGTCACTTTGCTTTGCTCTGAGTTATATGCGTCCATTGCATTAAACGTCGTCTTGAGCTTCACGTAAGCTTAGGATCGGGCCATTCTATTGATGTGTGTGTATTTCTGACAAGGCCTTGACAGGGCAGCGCTGACACAATACCCCATTGACCACATGCATCTGTGTGCTCCAGCCATACGGTTCGATGCATGATATAGTGCATTCTGGTGCGTCCTGCAAATGGCAAGACGCACCTTTGGCACACTTTTTACAACTAAATGGTTGTTAGTGTTATCGTCGTTGGCCAAATAATAATAAGCAACACATTTGGAATCGCAAATGTCGTTTGCCTAATCGTTTGGAGTAGAAATATATATTTCGTTTCTATCATTGGCAATCAAATGAAACTTCGCTAGGTATTGTGTTATTCTCTGCCCTATTATACGAAACAATTGGGAACCTGTGTGGGCTTTTAGCTGGGTTCTTTACCCCATTCCCAATCCTGCTGCAACTAATAAAAAGGTATCTGACTTGAGTTTTAAGAGCTAACCTAATTTGCATCTTTTGTTGTAATGGCAGGGAGTATCAGTATCGTAACTGCGACGCTTCACGCCGAAACCGAAATTCGTTCAAGTGTCTGTATAGAAAATATGTCAGTGGCAAGTCATCGTATATATGAAATTGCCGATAAATGATCAATTTATTGAAGGATTTATAGCAATTTACAGAGCAAGCTATGTGGGTCTCTCTATGCCGGAAAAGTAGAAGTTGTTCTTGTACATATCGCAGAGTAAACGTTCAATAGCTGCGTCTCCGATAGTTTTCTTGAAGAACAGATCCTGGATCATTTCCTTAGCGACTCTTCTCAGTGGAACGATTGCCTCGAGAGCTCGTTCCGCTCGGTCGCGCTGTGAAGGATACGCTCCGGCCGTGTAGCCGACAAGGGTTCGTCTAACATCATCTAGGTGGCGCTGTACAGCAGTTACTTCGTGGAGGCGGCGCGTAGGTGATGACAGTGAGGAAGACAGTAATGGGGAGGAGTTTAAAGCTGGAGGCGGAGATGACGATGGTCCTGTCGGTGCATTCGCTGGAGAAGGAAAATGGATTCCCATAAAAACAACAACACACAAATGAAATTGAAATAACATGTTACGTGTGGCCATGGCTTCTCTGAAAAGAGCAACAGAACTCGTAATGAAGGCAAGAGAAGATTCCTTTAAACAGGCCAACCAAAACATAGAGGCTGATTGAGCATGAGTTACTGCACCTTTCATGAAGCCATGTAGATATTGATTTACTAACAAACACGTGATTCTTTTTGTGATTTAAACGCTCAGTACATACATCATGTTAATACATTTTTCGGTGTACCTAAATTGTTACAATAAAAAATGAACATCTAAGCCTTACGGTGGATCGTGCTTCCAATCCTGGTATATTCTAAATGAGTGAACCTAATAAGTAAATGTTGAAGACCTACTCGGCGGATTGAAAAGTACGGCTGCCTTGAGCAGAGCAAACTCAGTGCCATCCAAACAAAGCGATTGAAGATCACGTTGAATTAACGTCATCTCACGAACGTCATCAGTACTCCACCGTTCGTCTGCAGCATCAGATATCAGCGAGGTAGCACCATCTAGTAAAAGGCCCATCTGAGTGGCGGTGATGAGGAACAATTCGCTCCAAGATGATTCAAGTAGAAAAAGCTGCGTAGACACGCATAGAGAGCAAAGAACAACGTTTTAATATACTTATGGCTTTGATGGAATTCTGATTAGGGTACTAACGTCCTATAGAAACATTAGGTGGATAAAGACTTTTCTTTTCCGTATTTTTGTTATTAAAAACATGTCTTCCTACTATTTTTGCCTCGAAAGAGCTTATCAGTAAACAAACTAAAAACGCACCTGATCCGATAATGGCAGCGAGCTAAGCTGTGTCACCGTCTTGAGGTAGTGGACGATAACGAAGAGAACCTGTGCTGCTAATTCGCAAAGGCCGTGTCCTCCTGCGCTGGGGTTGACAGGTGATGGGGTTGTTTGAAGGTTAGATTGTGATGTAGGCGTTGTCTGAGTGTGGCGAGGTAGTGGAGAGGGCAAAGGCGAAGGAGGCAACACCCCTAGCGGAATTGGGGACACCGGCAGCTGTAAATGACGATAAGATATGTTCATCTGAGGCCCATCGTTTTGTTGGTTTAGAATCTTTCTTTTGTAGTAATAGTAATCAAAGTAAGAATGGTTCAATGGAGAAGTAAGCTACAGCAAAGAATATCCTGGCCGTGTAGAGTAGTTTCGAGAAAATAAGGTGACACAAGTATTTTTAAAAATAGTCTGCCAATGCTTTAGAATGATTTATAAGATGAGGAGCATTTTTGTCATAACTGGATTTCTAGGAATGACAGATGTATTAGGCTAACCATGCTGAAGGTGCATCGGTCAAACTAACGCTACAGAGACGGTTTGTCTGTATTGACTACTGGTTTTAGAGTCGACGCTTTCATTTTTCGTCCCATCTCTCTTTTCTCGGCGGTATACTTTTGGTTCATTCTGTAAGAGGGAACAATTAACTACCGGCTCTGTATAGCGTGGGTGCTATATAAAGAGAAGCTCCATTTTCTATCTTTGCCTTTTTCATCTGCCCCAAAGCAAAAATTTTTTCTGCATCTGCCAAGATCGGCCACCCCATCTCGAAGGCACTTAGGGATTTCCAGACGATGTTCGCAGATTGTGACCCGCATATCTTTGGTCTATGTCAACTTAAGTAGTGTCTATAAATAATCAATAAAGGCCTGACGACGACACTTCATAGCGGCACAATGTTTACTTAGACTGAAGTGTAGTTTTTAGTATGTGTGACCTGAGATAGCGTACTCGCCTTCAACCAGGGTGTTAATCTTTGAGCGATTGCGAGGTTTGTGTCTCAGTAAAACTCAACCTACCGAAAAACTCCGAAGATACTCGTAGCTATTTTACAGACGTCATCAAACAGGTTCACACTATAGGTATTTCAGCTTCATTCAACAGCTTACACTTCAACGTGTTTTCTGCAACTGTTGTCGGTTATACTTAGACGCAGACCGAACTTACGCATGCCTTCTGTTTGCAATTAACGGCCACAACTTTTGAGTTGAATTTCTCTCTCTCTCTCTCTCTCTCTCTCTCTCTCTCTCAGCTCTTAAAGCTCGCTCCTAACAGATCTAAGCCACACTCTTAGAGATGAGTGTTGGGGGATAAACGATAGACAGTTAGGCCACAACACAACAAAGCTAAGCTCTTTCTGTGCCCCCGTCTTTTGCATGTGCAGTATTTGTTGCATGCTTGTACTAAAATGATAATCTGCCCTCCCTCTGTCGACACACCGCAGAGACCATTATTCGACTAAGCGGGACTGGCCACATCGTGATCTATTGTGATCGAAGTGAGATCTTCAGTAGTTGACGGCTCTCGCATTCGAAAACTGCGGAGAGGTTGTGGCGACGCTCAACCCTCCTCACTCATAGGCGTATCCATAGACAGGGACGTTCATATGCTGCACTCTTTCATTTAGGGGGACCTTCTGTTGTACCTTCGGCAGTAGTGCTTCTTATTGTCTGGATCCAACATAATCGGTCGTTCAACGATCGGCGCTGCTGTTATTGAAAAGACGAAGAACGAACGACACATTGTCATCACCAATTGCGATCCAGAGTGTTGCTGGCGACTTTGTTCGCTGTTCAGACTTTATATATATATATATATACAGAGTGAAAATATAGAATAAAAATCACTTCGACAGATGAAGGAGCGCATAAGGCGACGTGAATTGATGATGATGTTGAGGTTCGCAAACGACGCAAAAGTGGATGACTGCGGATGAAAAATGGCCGAGTGGAGGGGGTAAAAAAGAAAACAAAAAAAATGCGTCAATTTCTCCAAACGAAAGCACGCAGGAAAGAAAAAAGATCAGAAGTGCACAGAATTGTACTCTATATTTTCCTAAAGAAACTAGATGCGTTAAAAATGAATAAAACGAAGAAGCAGAAGAAAGGGAAACGGTAGAGACTCGAGATGAGTACCAGAAAGACTAACTGAGTGGAATCTACTGAGGTCGAAAAGCCTCCTGAGTTCCGAGGACAGTAGTATCCTCCCGAATCGAATCGGTAGTACAAATGATTTCGATAAACTTCCAGTCTGCATCAGCTTTGCGTGTCCATAATTGAAGTTGGAAGCATCAACTCTAAATGACAAACGGGTTGCAGTTACATCGAGCCGAAGCTGCAATATCGTACATTCGACATGTCGACAGTTTCGTTTTCCCCCTAAAACTTAGCGGACGAGTTCTCGTATAGCGAGTACTTTTTCTGCTTCCATATGCTGATACGCGCATCGATCGCGACCCTTAGCTGCTACCAAACAGTTTAACCAGGTCCCGTTTAGGCAGATCCGGCAGCGTTTATACACAGCGGGATGGACAGAGCTTTTTTATGAGGGATTATGGGCTGAGTTCCATAGAGTATCAGATGGCACATCAGCAGGGTCTTTTCGCATGCATATTCGATGTGTATCTTCCCTGCCATGTTTCCGATCGTCGAGCCCCCTGCGAGTCCAGCACTTAACCTCAGCAGGCACCCAAATTTACTGTGCCGGAATCAATCTCCATGCAAATATTGACGCTGTCTTATGCTCGCGCAGAATTGCCATGCGCATGGTCAGCGATTCTTTTTAAAGCTCCCCAACGTGACGTTATCTAAACGCGAGCGTCTTCAAGTCTACCCTGGTATTACGCGTATGGTGTCCCTCACACAGCTTAGAAGGCATAGGAAAATTGATGGTTTAGCTAGGGCGGTCTGTGGTCATTGCGGGAAATTTAGAAGTGCACTAAGACGCATGCTAACGAACCCTGTGATACAACGATCAAGCTTTTCAGGCACAGAGTGTAATACCCCATATAACACTTATTCTATATTTCGAGCTAATATTTCCGTTTACGGCGGGCCAAGAAGGCTTGCAAGACCGAGAATGCTTTTTTACGTTCCTTTGCCTTATTAAGTTGGATACATTGTTTCGTGACCACTCTTTTGTTAAGGCAGACAAGGGAAGACTCTGACAGCAGTAGCGGTAGCAGCAGAAGCATCGTGAATGGATAGTAAGTGACCTGAGCGGATGATACGGCCGATTAAGCACTTCGTAGCTTGTTCGGAAATTCAAGTCGGGGATTTAGCAATGAAAAAGTCGATGAATTGAACTAAATGCTCTGCTGATATTCTTGCAATAGAGATGATATGACATGATAATAGGCCGAGGTGACTGACTATGTTATAGTTCGATTTACGACGGGCATTTGAGATCGCCGAGACACGCCAGATGCATGATATGGTAGCGTAGACTACGCTCCACATCCAGATCCGATAGAGAGTATTCCGACACACATTGATACGGAACGTTGCGGTTGAACCAAATTAACTATCGAATATTCACCGCAGCATCTAAATGTATCATATGCGTACACACAGAGACACAACGGCGATGCGAGATCTTACTCGTCGTTTTACCCTGCGATGTTCCGAGGTATTAAGTCACTTAATGTCTATACATTGCAGACTAAGAAGTTCACTGATCAGGTCGGCTACACTCTTTGTGTGACGCAGTCAAGCTCCGTGAATCTAAATAGTCCGAAATAAATCCGCCCATCTGCTCGATCAGCAGCAGGCGTTGTTCGAGTTCCACACCTGAAGCGATGCATGCTCGATAGGAGGCTTCTTTCGGCTCTATGTGAAATTATTACGTCCCGTGACAAAGCAGTAGCTGTCTATCTGTCTGTGTTGCAGAAGATACTGTATATACGAGACTGTATAGAATATTCTACCCTTCATTCAAGTATTAATTATTTGAGCTTTTTTTTCTCATCTAACGATGTATATTATGAATACGTGCGTGAAGCAAATCAAGAGTTTTCCTACTAGGCAACTCTTCGTACGCCCTTTAAGAAACACAACAAGTACGGTTTAATCTACAGTTAAAAAATTTGCTGTCAGGAAAACGTCGCTTCGCCACCGCAGCAACGACGTCCTCCTTCGAGACACATTGAAGACTCAAAGCGATCTGTGTGCAATAGCCGGTGGTCCTACAGCGAACATAAGTGCGCGATCAGAACGATTCCTCACGAAGGATGGCCGAGGACAAAGAGAGAATACATTAGCATATCAATCTGTCGTTCAACCATAACTACTATGACCTCCTGCTCTGGCAATGTCGGTTAGCGCAACGACCAAATGATAAATATAAGCGGTTTTCGCCTTTCAGAAAGACGAGAAGCTATACTTTCCTATCACAGATGAGCGCTTCGTGTAGAATGGCTCTTGGATCGCCCAAAGGATGGCAATAACTAAGACACACACTGTGACGCATAAGAACTCATGCGCACACTCACACACACACACGCACACGCACACACACACACGCACGTATACTTCCTGTGTTTATACAATCTCAACGAAAGTAATGTTTATGTGAAACTGAGATCGATGTGCCTCAGTCTGATATCGATCGCCAAATCCCCAATCCAGGAGCAATCCAATACGGGCTAGAATGACGGCACAATTTCGAAATAACCGCGACTGAACCACGGTGTATAAATCTTGCAACTTCACACAGACGTCAAGGAAGTAAAAGCGCCAATTTTGTGCCGACTGTATATTCTTATTGATAAACATGAGTTTTTATTTTTGTTCTATCGCAATACTGAATGAGACTCATACACACATAACATATACGTACCCTAGCGAGTTGCATGATTAACGGGAAATGAAGGGACGCTGGATGGCCAAACGCTGACTTATTCCTTTGGCCGTCCGGGGATCCAACTCCAGGGGCCGCTTCAGCAAGGGGTAGAGGCATAGGTAGTGGAAGGGGTCCTAAAGCTCCTACAGAACCTTCTGGCCCTGCTGGGAGGTAATCCCCGCCCATAACTTCCTTCAAGTACATCGCCGCTTGGCGACGCAAGGTTGAATTTCGTGGACCCCTGAAACGGGAATTGTTTCAACCGTGTAACAAGCAATTCATATGATGCATTGCTAGCTTATATTATATCGATTTTCCATTCTTAGAAACCTGGGGACCGTAGATGGATAAAATTGTTCGATCGGTTAGAACTCAAAATTAAGTTGAGTTAAGTGTTAATCAGTATGCAGAAAAAGATAGCGGAGAATGAGCGTTCATTTATTGCCTAAGTGTCAGAACTTACTAGCAGTACAACCCCTATATATATACACTGGAAATCTATTCTACATGTGTTCGAATATCTAATGCGCGTTGCTGGTAGTCCTTACATACCTTTCATGCTGTACTGCTTCTCTGTTCATGCCAGCAGCAAGACATTTACGAAGCCTGCACGCTCGGCATTGATTTCGATGGGTTTTGTCTACAGGACACTGGTCCGCTTGCGTTCCTCGGCCTTTGCAGATATAGTGGCGGTTGCGTCGGATTGAACGTTTGAAGAAGCCTGCACATCTGTAAACGAGTTACAACGTAAAATTTGAACGTAACACTTTTACATCGGCTCCCCTATCACTGGATATGTTATAGGAAACTCAGCCATAACATCACGAAATGCTCGAACATTTTATAAAAACTGACATGTTAAAATAGCTAATTCATGAGACACATATTTTTAATTTGAGTATTGATCGTTCGGATCACTAGGAAGCTAGATCGGAGGTTGCACCCCCATATCATAGTATTGCCACTGAATTTCGCTCGAAGTGGCGAACGGTGCTGTCGCTGTTCCCAGTTGTTCTACCACTTATAGGCACCAAGTGAATATTGTTCGTGATACGCATAATGTGTTACAACGCTTCAGAAGCGTACACATCCACAGACACACTTGAACCGAATGCCGATATTTGCTTAACTCGTCTATGGCGGGCGTGTGTAAGCCAGTTTGGATATGGGACTCCGAAGCGACGGGCCAGTCAGTCTAGAAGCCAAAATGCTTGAACGGGTGGAGGGCTGCTTTAGGGTGTCGGACTTGAAGTAGAAGGAACAAAGAGGGGGTTTCCCGCAGAGCTGCAGGCTTCCTCTGCTCGGCCCGGTCGAAGTGGGCGTCTGTCTGTAGTTTGTCGTCATTCGTTGCTTCCATGGCAGTTAACGAAAAGCTTGACGCGATTTTAGTTGCTAGCGACCGAGTGCCGCTACTGCAATTGCGACTAGAGACGCTCTTTCGTTCGGCGGTGACAATTCGCTTAGCTATCATTCCTGTTGCGGCCGGCATTTGCTATCGAAGTGGAGTCCATCGCATCGGCGGCAGGCTGATGCTTTCTCAAGTGCTCTCATATTGTCCCATCGAAGCCTTCTGTGCAAACTTGAGGTGGTAGGGCCATTGTCACCTTGCTGCGTCTCTTTATAGCGCTCAGGCCAGCACGTCGTGCTGCAGACACGCCTGACTCTTCACTACTCTAGCAGCTCCACAGCAACTAGCAAATGCTCCCCAATATCAAATGAAGACCCATAGTCACTCACTCACTCAGTCAGTCACTCGTTCGGTGTCACTCTAATGTCACCGTCACGGCCTGTTACTAATATCAGGACAAGTAACAGCAGAAGTAGGAGACTAGATAGGCCAAACCCTACAGACTGCGCAGAAACTGACTGATCGCTTCAGCACACGTACATAAAATATAGTAAAGCTGGCTACCATAATTTCTACCAGCAATAGTTAGAGTTCAATGAAAATGTACATGTACTCCTGTTTTTTTTTACACGCAGCGGCCTAGAGTGCCAGTCGATAACCTTTTCTATGGAAATGGTAAGTAACGGTAAAATGCTTTCCTCCAACGATCCGCAATCTGGATTCCCTGTCTACAGGCTGTAGCAGCATGATCAAAAGGCTTTGACGGGACAGAAAGGGAATATTACCCTTCAACTATGTCCTTAATGGCCTGGTCGTTTCACCAAAAGGGTCTAAAGTTTCGCGCCCAGCTCATTACAGATATTCGTGTTATTATAGGCATTAGTGTAGCTGCTAAAGTACTAGCTTACTTACACAAAACGTTTTTCTACTGAATAGAATATACGTCGCTACGCCAACTATTCCAATCAGTTGCAGTGGATTCTTGTGGCAGAAAAGATATATGCCTAAAGATCCTCAGATATTAACAGTTTACCCATCATGAAAGGAGGGCCTTGTCAAGGGTAAATTAGGGGAAAAAACATTTGGGTTTGTCTTCTCTCTAAACAGTATGTAGAAACGTGCAAATATGTTATGATTAGCTGTAATAGTAGGCAATTGATTGACTAATTTTGCAGGCGTATGCACGGATAACTGTATACATGTGGGTGGTACGTAAGCAGCTAGCTGCAAGCGTTACGGATTGCAATGAGATAGAAGGTAAGATGAAATTGAACGATGCTGATGGAATCTAGTGAAGCGACAAGACAAAGAAGTTGTTCCCTCACAAAGAAAGTTTTCTTCTACATCCATGTCCTATTGTCACTGTTAGTGTCGATCCAACTGAGCGGCCATGAATCCACGGCTGCTGCCAGTAAAAAAAGAAGTACTCATTCAGCGGCCGGAATCGACGCTGCCGATAGCAAAGGATCGGAGGACACTTAGAGCGATACACCAACCATCTCCTTTGGCGCGTCTTTTCTTCTGTGTTTCGTCCGTGAATTAAATACGAACCGGACGCATTCATTCGACCTCCTGCCACAATTACCACCCACTTAGGCGAAAACGGACGGAAAAAGGAAAGCCGTCGAGGTCGCTGGCGAGGTGATTCGACGAACCGATCGTATCATCTCGTTCCTTTCAGCGAAGAACGAAACTTGCTCCGCTGTCCTGTCTGCCACCATTGCAAGCGTTGACATTTTCATCAGGAAAACGCTCCTCTAACAGGGTGACAGATCGGTGACTGTTCGAATTGAAAGGAGGGCAAAGAGGTTCTAGTTTGCGAGATAGCTTGGAAGTTTGCGAAGAGCAAAGCGAAAGTGGCCTACAATCTGGCCTCGAGTATGGCGAGCAGCTTAGTGAACTGCTCCCATCGGGGCTGGCGGCATAGCTGGTTGCATGGATCACACGTGTCAATTCGGACCGACGCTTTCTGCCGCCAAGATCAGAAAAAGCGAGCGAGAGAGAGAGAGAGAGAGAGAGAGAGAGAGAGAGAGAGAGAGAGAGAGAGAGAGGTTGCGGATAAGTGGTAACGTCGAAGGCTCAGTGTTAGGATGGCCAGTATGGAGATATTGTCGCCCTTTCAATGACCAGAGAACGGCAAAAGCAGCAGCAAAGCGATCCTATCCATCCGAGCTATGACGTCCATCTAAGTAACACTGAACGTTGTAGCGCTCAATTAGCTACTAGCACAATAGCTATTGCGTGGCAAGCCTATGTGTAACAGTTTCATCTAGCAGTTAATAGATGGAGCACAGTTTATGCATGCGCTCACGCATGGAATGACCAATTTGAGCACATATTGGTATATTCCATATTGCATTAGGTTGTAAAGGGCTGACTGGTTGTGATATGACCAATGAGGTAACAATATGACAGATTCTACCAGTGATGGCGAGCAAGAAGTGCCCATACGACACTTCATTAGCTCGAGGACTAAGAAGTGGTATTAGGTAAACGAGCGGCAGCTACTCGCGTGGTAGTCATATGCGAGCGGCAATAGATACTGTGCCTGACGCAGAATCGATTAGAAAGTTTCGAAACATTAATGTAAGGAAAAAATCTATAGATAGGTCCGCGAGCAAGCCTTCGAGGCGTCAGTGTTGTGGAGCTTACCATGTTATCGCATATTTTTTTTTGCTGCGAAAAGCAATCTGGATCATTTACGTAACTCACTCCCCACTTCTAATGCATACCCAAAAGCTGAATGATCAGTTTTTGTTACGAAGGTACCACGAAAATATCGTATATCGTCATCCTTTATCCTATAGATATATGCTTGACTATCAATACGCATGGTCTATTGCCTGTACGCGGATGATCGCTAACTAAATGATTTTTGTGTGTCCTGTCAGCTTTTGTTAACGCGGTACTAAGACGGTGTAATAGCAACGAAGGGTTCACATATCCAAAATTTAAATACGTAGTTTTACCACCCACCTCACTGGGTCATGTATGCAATTTGCAAGGACAATCTATCACTTCAGTACAAACAATCCGTTTTAGCCCCTTCAGATTTTGGTAAACGCATGAGTGAGGTCGGCCCGACCTCGGAGTCTACCATTTTCAAACGTATCATTGTTCAAGATGGTCAATTCAACGTTTAGCTGTATGTACCTTTTCAGTACTACTGTTCGTAAATGTGGCTTTTTCAACGTATTTGAAAACATTTTCGTAGGGGGAGTACGAACGTGTTTCTGATAAACAAACTGGACGCTATAGATTATCTCAGATTATTTGGAAAAAACTCAATACGATAGATCAAGAGAGAAGAGAGATTTTCATGATCCGCAAAGGCACAACCTAATATTAATACGGATAGATTTTGCAAGCAGAGATAAAGATCGCTGATTTCATACGATGATATCGATGTTCGCCTCATTGGAATTGTATCGCTCCTGCATCCTGTGTTAACAACTGGGAAAAACTTGAGCTGCGAAGAAGCGTCATGGAGCAGTCCTGAGATCAGGAAGCAAGTAGTGGCTCGGTAGTTGAATTCAAGTACCCTTGACGAAATCCAGTTTTATTGTCGAAAAGAGCGAGAGCCCAGAACTCAAGATGGCACTGCATAGAGAGGACGTTGCGACTGCATTGCAGCGTCATGGATCGGCAGCTAACAGAGCGATGACGGGCGAACGATCGCGCGATTTCGGCGCTAGCACTTGAACGCCAGTCCTACCTATGTTTCAACTCGAATTCAATTAACGAGAACAACGACGAGATTTGGAACTCGCATTTAGGCTGAATCATAACGACGCGAACAAATAGTGCCCGTAGATACAGTCAGAGTAAAGGGAAGCGAACTGGGCGCAATTTTAGGCAAGAAGCGCCCAAATAGTTCCATAAGGACGCCTTCGTCTTTCAAAGAACACTAAATGGATTAACGACAAAAGTGTGGGCGAACACGAGCCGAGCCCGATTCAGTCTATCTAAAGAGTTAGGCGACAACGTATCCATAGCTTAATAATTGCTTTCTTTAAACAATGGACACGACTGATATTCACATCAGACGTACGTGGAGTGATAGATCGTCTAACGGGACCCATTATAATGAAGCAATACAATAAGCGATCCTGTAGCAAACGTTCGTCGCGATAACTAACTTAAAAAATATAGCATTACTTAACACGCCAACGTTTTGCCAAATGAGCAAATTAACTGTCAATCCAAATCATATATTAGAATTTTATGAAATTCTCTATCTAGATAAACGGTGCCACAGTGCCATAACTTTTTCGGTCCTAGAACAATGTGCACTTACCCATCGCAGGCGTAAATTCCGTAATGTTTACCAGAGGAATGATCAAAGCACACCTTGCATGGTATGTCAAGCAAGATACGACCTGAAATATTCACAATTAAACGTTAGAATTCTATCTGGCAGTACGTTTTTTTTCCGTGAAGAGACCAAAGTAATCAGGGCAATAAGTTCGCTTAGCTATTCGAAGATCGCTTGCAAGAATACGCACAGCATTTATCCACGGTGCGGTAGACCCACATGAGGCGATTGTCACGTCTTTATAGGTATCTTTTCTATGGGGTTTGTAACTTTTACGTGTTTCAGATATTAGCATGGTAGGCGTTTTTAGGAACTCGTTAGTTATAGTTCACGTTTTCGCCATTTCATTGTTCTCCGACTTGCAAATCTCGGTAGGATTCTACCGGAACAAACAAATAGTAATTTCTCGCTTCGGTGAACAAACGGATTGAGTTTTCGTTCAATTTTCTGCTTCTTATACAATTAATCCGACTAGAAAGATGGGATGGCCTACAACGTGGCCATGTGGTCTCTGCACAACAACAACAACAACAACAACAACAACGATATTAATATACTACTGTGCCCGATCAGTCTATCAGGCGCATTTCGTCAAATCAATTCCAGGCCCAGAGTGATACCCAGTATGCCCACAACCCGAGAGTTGCTCATCATCTGTTGAGTTAGAGAAAACAAAGTGGGTCGGCGTTTAGCTCATTACCTAGAAGTTGGGTTAATCGCACTTTTTATGTAGAGTATGTATTTCGTATCGTCCGGAATTGCTGCATTTTTGCGCCTTCCCCTTTCCCGGTAAATGAAAGCTAATGGAGCTCGTGGCAGCCTTGCATTTCTTTTTACTTGTCTCTGAGGGTGAGATCGGTCAGGGTGACCTAGTCGTTAATCAAGCTAGACATGTGCCGGCGCTCGAACGGGGTCGCCGTGATTGCCCTGATGTTAGCCGTGGCCCCTTCCCAACTTCTAAGCTGATTCTGATCTGCCGTTTAGCGTCACCATGCGCCCATACGTATTCAAGCACGCGCTGTCAGAAACACGCACCCAACAATAATTTGTTCTCAATGTGCATTTAGTAGCATTTTACTATCGACAATCAACGTGAATAACCGCCGTTGTTTGTCAAGCATCATCTTGTGTGTATCTCTAGCGTTAGGCAGAATAAAGTTTATTTACACGTATATTTTTCAATATAATATATATATATACGCGGTAAGTGTCAGCGAAGAGGTAGTGGCGGCTCAGAACTACTCGGCGGCTCGCAAGGTATTCCTTCGCTAAAAATATCCATAATATTAAATAATATTGTTTAAGCTGCTCTTCTTCTCGCAACACGCTACATGCGCAAAGCACGTGTTGTTGTTTGTGCACGTCTGTGTAGATAGAAATCTCTTCGCATGGACTTTTGTTTCTAAAAGGTTACAAATTACCAATCTGTCTAAGTCACGATCTACCTGGATTGGTTATACACATGTGCTTTTCTATGAGTCACTGTATTTATATTCAATTAGTCAAAGGGAAGGCGTCGGCAAAAATCTCGGTACCATAGGCTACCAGACAGACTTTTAGAAAAGAACACATGATGATGATATATATAACGTGAGACCGAGATCTCCGGCGCCATTGCTGATGCTGCTGCTGCTGCTGCTGCTGCTAGTGCTCGTTACTCATCCGTAGGATCACTCTCAAACAACACGGCCATCGCGGCAGCATCATTAGCTATCAGACAAGCTTCGGAAGTAGGAGACTGCGGCAATCTGATGGAGTGAGTATACGATTACTTTGATGTGGCCTAGCAGCCCTACGAGCTGCTAGTAAGTGAGACAACAAAGGGAAGGCTGCCGTCGCTGCTGTGGAGTCTGTGCCGAAACAGGGAGCCGACAGGACGTAAAGAGAGAAATTTACCGCTAGGCCTCGACGGGCAGTACTCGTCTATGGGTTGCAGGCAACGCGCCGCTCAGGAGTCACGACAAAACGTAACAAAACTCTGCGGCAGCCGGTCAACATAGAGGGCCATGGCCTGACGATTGTAACAGCGGTAGCGTCGCTTCAACAACGAAAGAAAATCTAGGGATTGACACTTCGGGTGATATCATAAATTGCTTATTTCAAAAAGTTAATATCACCCCCGCACAGAGGGTCGAAAAGTGTCAGCGCTCCTGAGCCGGGCCTGCCGCTCAAGGCTAGGCGCATTTTCACCTGGCTAACTAATAAAACCGACAACAGTTCGACTAGACCATCGTTACTTTGATCCATTAAAGTATTCTACGCCTGCCCTAGCAACTAGACCCTAAAGCGTAATGTTTAAATTGCGCTCTGCAGAAACGAGATTCGAATGCGGAACAGGAGGAAGGACGGCTGTCATAAATGACGATGGACGTACAACGTTTCAAGGCCTATAACGTTTTCCTTGTTAAAATTTGTCTCAAAACAAATAAAAAAAGCTCACTGCGTTATGCGTACCTTTTACTGCCCGCCCATATGTACGCACGTGCAGATTAGCGACAAATATAGTGTAATAAATTGCGGTCCACACTGTCAAAAAATCTAAAAGTCATGCGTAGTCTAGGCGCACATTGAGAACGACAAAACTACATCTAAAAATCAAGCAATCCTCTTAATTTTTTAAATCAGAACAAACTTTCTCATAAAGAGAATTACCCTGTTGTCCCTCGATGGACAATATTAGAGCAGAACCACTGGCCAGTCGCAGGGAGTTATCAGGGCGGGGTGGGACGCTAGCGGCCATCGAGATTTGCGTCACTCGGAGAAATCGAGTTCGGTTCTACCGAGCGCGACCGACGTGAGTACAGCGCGTGGGAACTAGTAAGGGAATAGAGTAGTCCCAACGAATAATAGAGCACCCAATATAGCCCAACTGGGTCACAAATGCAGGTGAGAGAGAAAACAGAATTTGTTCCGTTGACAGCATGCCTGCCGCGTCACTGGGTTCGGAGTGTCACGGTCGGTCGTGGCGATTATCGGTGCGGGTTGCCTACTAAATATTAACAGGAAAATAACTCGATCATATGGATTACTACTGCCATATCGACTTCATACAGACATTGGTGTCTATTTATGTTATGGAATACAGCTTTTATATAAATCATTACCCAGAGCACATACAGAGCAGAATTGCGACAGCCCAACCTTGACGCTGAGCGGAAAGATTTACCACTACGTTTGTTTCAGCTGAAAATTTGCATCTGTTGCTGCTGCCAGTCACAATCCTGTTATTTCAAAGGTTGCTTCCAAGGTATCAACAGCTTAAACTTACACATTTATTATGATTAAGCAGTAACATCTTTATTTGGACAGTTTTAAGGTGATAGTAACTTTACCGTGCGCCGCAATCCGCGAAACCGCGGAGATCGCAAAACCTGGCTTTTGTTTACAAAAAAAAAAAAACAAGTAAACTATATGCCGAAAGTTCTTAAAACGTTGTGTCCTTTGTTGCGTGAGAACTGTTTCTTTTTTCCCGTGTATTTTAATAGAAAAAGTTCTCTCGGCGAAAGGCTTGTCCTACCCAACTATAGACGCAATACCAATACTCCACAGGAGACACGGTTGGCTTGCAAATCAGCCTTTCTTTACCTAGAACACATATAAGCCTTTACCCTTCCAAAAATAAATATAGGCCACACGATACCGCAGAACATTGTTTGCTTCAAAATCAGCATTTAAGGGTGAATTAACATAGACAAAACTTATTTTGGATCAATTTAACTAGAGAACTTCAATTCCGGTAAACTTCACGAAGTTGTTTCGAATCGCTGTAGTTCGCGCGAATTACTTGCATGAAGTATTACTTGCATTTACGAATTGTTATCTGGTCAAAATCGACCTATGCAGCGTCCAGCGCAATGCTCGGCGACTATGTACAATGTAGTAACTCGCAGACAAGGAAGAGCACTCTCTTTCGGAAACAGTAACATGTACCTATCTACTAGTGGCCAATGTTTTGTATTTACCAACTTAGCAAGGAGTCCTTTTCGGGTTATTTGGGAGCTACTATATGGGAACGTGTTTTTCCACACTCGCGGCTCGAATGATTGTAGTTTCCTTGGTAACCCATCGTAACCTAGTGACAGCGTTCTGTTTTCAAAATTTCCTCTCCAACGTGCTATCATATTAAACATTAGATTTTATAAAAGAAGAAAGTTTCTTTTTCTCGTTTGTGTCTGAACGGTGGCCATATACTAGCGTTCTCATAACAACGCTTCACTGGTAAATAGCTGTCCATAGATGTTTTGTTAGCTTACAATGACCCGCCACGACTCCCAACATTCACTGCATAGTGCCAGCAACCATCGTCATACTAATAATAACAATAATCATTACCATAAACCTGATTCATTCCTGATTAATATTATCATGCACATTATTATCATGATGTGCACGTTGCGTTATCATAGGAACATTAAATGGATTGAATTGTAGAGGACCTGCAGACTGCATAGGTATCGCTGGGTAGATCTCGGGAACGATGTCAGAGTGATTTTCACCAGGATACGTGACACTGCCATTAGAACACTACCACTAGCGGAGGTAAGTTAGTTCCCTTCGCATTCTCCACCAGCCCCCACCCAGCCACCCCCGACGGAGGCAGCCCAATGAAGCCGCCGGGAATCAGCTCCAAAGACAGCAGCAGCAGCAGCAGCAGTAGCAGCAGGCCAGTGTAATAGCGTTCAACATAGTCCCTTAGCTGAGTGGCTAAGCCAAATGCTGGTTGGGGTCGTAGCAGTGTCGCATTAATCGCGTTCTCCATCCCACCTACGGCCATTTTGTCGTGCTTGCAGGAAAAACAGGGCATGCTTTTGTCTGAGCCCATCTGATCAAACAATAATGTCAAATAATATGTCCTATTCCTCGCCTGCGTATAATTATAATATTCAGATTTAAATAAAAACAATATGGTAAGCGTTTGAGTTATGCTGCAGGTTACAGGGCTTCATGAGTCCATAGCCCAGTGTCTTACTGCTAATGTTAATGAAAAATGGCGCAGATGTGTAGGTGCAATGATTTTTTGGCGGTTATTGATAACATCCAAGGTACGCCGAAGTAAAAGCAAAAAACGTTACGCGCACCCTGTTCGCTACATAGGGACCCTTCTTTTTTATGCTTCGTGCAAACATTCGTTCCTTCGCGAGTTTAATAGTTGTTGTTAGTGCACTTTCTTCTTATGGAGTCCTACATTATGATAGCGTGGCGTTCGAGAGTTTGCTCGATTTTCCGAAGCTGACGTTTTCACTAAATCTTTGGAAAAAATTTCCAAACACAATGCTACCAACTTTAACTTGCCAGCGTTAATTGTAACTTTCGTTATTTAAATGTACGCACTGCTGCAGGGACGTTTTTGCGAAAAGACATCTGATTACGGCAAGAGTTTAATAATCGATTATATTAGTTCATGATCTCATAAACAACCGCGGTAACAATTCACCTATTCGGTAAGTACGATACATAAATACGATTTTTCCAAGTATACACGTTTCCTTTGAACGTGCATGTGTATGTGTGAGTGCCGTTGTAAAATACTGCATGTAGTTGTGGCGGATTCGGGTTCCCATCGCAAACTCGCCTCAGTCTTTCGCTTTATTCGGACGACTGCCGCCGTATGTTTCTACTGATACAAACACACACACTATATACACAGTTAGCCGACAGCTGAGATTATCACCCCCTCTCGGTTTGTCGCGTGCCTGCCGCGAAACAATCGATCGAGTAGATGGCTACTACTATTGTTGCCCTGACAATTGATGCTCCTAGTGATGATTGGCGTATTGCCGACGACAAGTTAATAAAACGGATTCCACTTCTTTGACTCATCCATCAGGCCAGCTCTGGCCTAGCACCCGCTAGTCGAATTGCCAAGGCTCAGCCGGCTCAAGCGAAGCCAGAGGCTTGCCTTCGTTTAGCACTTCGCTTCCTATCGACTTCGCTCAGAGGTATCCTCGTTCGAAGTCCAGTTCGAAGTCGAGCTTGTCCTTACATACTCGGCATATTTCTACCTCGCGAAAGAGCGCAGGTTGACAGCGCAACGACCATCCCATTGCTTTTCTTAAAATTCTTAGCGTGCGAACCATTTTATCTATTACTTAAAGCTAGCTACAATGTTTTCCAGTTTCTGAATATCTGTAGGAAACATTGGGATAGCTGTGTTGAAATTAGTCTATGCACGACATAACATGCACACCGCTGCCGCGTAACATCATTCGCTGGATAAAGCAACTCTGGATCCCGTTGACTATACGCGATGTGTCCGTTTTCAAAAAGGAAAACAAACACTGAAGGCTGAACGTGGACACAACACTGAAGGACGGGCTTCGTTTGTCCATTCGAGGCAACAGCACTTACGAGCAAAATTTTTAAATTTAACAAATCGCGCAAATACACATAGCCTTTTGGTAAGCAGAAAAAACAGTGGGCATGCCAAAAGTAAGCGGCATGCGATGCGGCTGAACTACAAAAAGTAAGAATAATTTATCTTTCAGTATGGCAAACGTTACTGTACATAGAACTCACTTGATGTTTGTTGTTGCTGCTGTTGCTGCGGTTTGTCAAGCGGGCTTGACACCACAGTAGACTGAAAAATCAGACTTGGCGAAGACATCTTTATGTTTTGAATGACAGCAAAAAAGCTGGTGTGAGGAGAGCTTGCTTAAGTGACTGCACCGGATAACGATGATTCTCGATCCACCAGATCGAAGTTATTACGTCCAGTTTTTCTCAGTTATGAACATTTCTATTTGTTGCTCGCCATGTTTGTTCTCAGTAGAGGTTTAGGATTTATCGGACGATAGGTGAAGAGCCGATGGCCTAAACGCCTTCAAGAGTTAACAGAATACACTTCGCCTTTGTCGCCTAGCGACAAAAGGGGATCACAGACAAAACTTTTTCGATGTACACTTAGCTTTCTCTTGCCAATGTTAGAAAGAGTTTATTAGAATTATTCAACACATGATTTGTTTCGAAATCCTCGTTTTCCTTCTTTTCTGTGCTAGAAAATTTTGAACACTTCGGCCGCCGGCTGTGTGCGTTGGCCATAAACTCCTTTCAAAGAGTTAACGAAGCACCGACTAACCACGTACCGCCTCTACGTAGATAAGGAACGCACTCCAAGTTACTAATCACGCTCACTAATGATTCACGGGTGCGTGGCTTTCACCAACGACGACCCCGAGTCGAATGATCGACCCAAATGGCTTTTAGCGTCTTACCGGCGAGTTAACACCGAGCCATTGGAGCACCATAATAGGAGCACGCCGACTGACGGCCTTCTGGCCGACTCGTTCACTCACTCGCATATAGTGCCACACTCACAGATACACTAACACGTACGAATTCAGTCGCTCAGATATACACACCCAGCTATATACCGACGTACACTGATACTCACACATCCACACAGTCAGTTAGACTAATACGCGAAATATTCGCACCGCTATGATCGTCCAGCGATGAACTACAGTTGGCTGTGGTGGGAAGCGAGCGTCATACGGCCAAGTAAGCGGGAGCAGGTCAAAACAGAATAGGGCTAAGAGCAGGTCCGCCAATTGCCGACAACTTGCCGCTCGAAGCTCCACCATGAAGTCATCAGCAGCAGCAGCAGCGGAAGCATGATCGGTCGGTCGGTCGATTGTTCATGAAACCTCGTCACGCCCCCCGGAGCAGCTTGCTCCGCCTTCCCATTGGCCGGCCAATCAGATGCCGGGCTTGTGGTGTATCGATGTTCACTTGAGCTGTAGCCAGTCAGATCTCCGAGACTCACACAGATCTCTGAGTAAATAGAGTTCAGAGGCAGTCACATGGTCAGGCGAACGCAGTCACATAGAGAGAAAGCGCTGAAGCGGTATACAATTAATATACTGTGCGCGCGCGTGTGTGCTACGATGGCCCGGTGCCCAAACACTAAATAGCCACTATAACGCCCTTCACATGTCTTCTAGATAATTACAGAACTCGACTAAGTCAGTTGGCTGGAACACTATCATCGATTTTATTAATTATATTGTTGATTGCATTTTGGCTAGACAGGCAGAGATCCCCAGACAATTGAATTCGTTGATACTTCGTTCTATAGTTTGTGTGTATGTATGTGTTGTATGCAATCGTTATGCAATGGTACGTTGCGAAAGTCAAATATCTTTCGGCTATGAGTGGTCAGATATTTCAAATACGTGTGTGGAGGCTTGGACACGAGGAGCAGATATGAGTAACCTTCGTTCGAAAAATTAGGTGAACAGCAACCTGAGGCATTTATTCAAGGGTCACGTTGACAACATTTACGTTATCGCACAGTACAAACAATTATATAGTAAGTAAGATTAAGTTCAGCTATGTAAAGCATCCTGCTTTATGTTAAGCCAATTTTGTTTCCTTTTTTCCACACTTTTATAGCACAAAAACCATTTTTCAAGTGTCTTTACTCAAATTATATATATATATATATATATATATATACGAATTTTTTTAAAAGGAACCCTGCAGGTGTACTTCGGCTGCAGAGATTTCCAAAAAGATAAAAATAGAAATTCTTGCTTATCTGCACCTAGTAAGATGTATCCGAAACGTCGATGATATCCTACATCAGCGGCTTCTAAAACACGTTGCTGCAAGCTTGCAGCACGTCGCTGCACCATGGCGCTAACCCATGAATGATAGATCACTTTGTTTCAATTATACGTTTTGGTCGTACGAAACTCCTGAGATCGGTGTTTATATTTTTATCCTAACCACAAATGTCGCAAACAAAGATGATTAGAAACGCAACGTGTGGCCTTTTTTTCATACTGTGTCGGAAAAGATTCTTTTCTCCAGTGGCTGCCATCACGGATCATCACTGTGTGTCATACGCGAATGGATCATCGTATTAAGTCAGCAATCAGGACAATGCAGCGTCCTTGTGTGTCCCACCAGCAAAACTTGCCTAGTTACTTGTCGACTACAAGAACTTGCTACACGTAGTTCTGAAGAGTTGCAGTGGGTATTAATGATCATAATGAGAATGTCATCCCCTCGATGCGAAGCCACATCGGTCTCGTCGGACGAAGGCACTGATATCTTGTCTACGAACGATGGCTGATGGTGGTTGTCTGTTGTCACCCGAGCCTCCGGAGAGCCACCCAGCTAGTTGAGAGATCAGATCACCTCCGAGATAGCATAGCGCCAATCTGCATACATGCAGTGTAGTCTTTGACAGAGCACTGCTGGGACCAAATGCTACTCCCCGGATGTCTGAGTTCAACAGACTGCGCCGAACTCGGCTCTGGATAAGCTTTTGCTAGGCGTCCCGCCTAACATCTCGGTATCGGCAGCGGTGATATCTAGAAAAACGCCTGTCTGCTCGCTACATCATCCACAGTGGGCAGACCACCGAGCGACGACGCAGGAACGAAAGAGGGAAATGCAGATACTGCTAATACTTTCTGCTTGAACACCGCCATTATGGCGATGATGATGGTGGTGGTGGTGATGATTGGTGTCGAAGAAGCTCGAGCGCCAGTTTTGGTGCCGCCGGAGCGGTGAATAACGAACATCGAGGAAGAGCTATTCAGTCTGTTTCCCTATATTTCTCGTCCGTTGTTTCCTTCGTTGGTTAGGGAAATTACATCGAACAAATCCGGGGATTGGTTCTCTCCTCCCCGTCTGGCTTCACTCCCGCGCCACGCGTAACTTCCATGTAGCGATATTTGTTATAGCCGAATGTGTGACGGCCTGACTGAGCGGCTGCGTGTGCCGTTGCTACTTTGCCTGCCGACAACCTCCTGCTGGTAAAGACACGGCCAAAGACGCATAAGAATGATGGCTATGCTGACGACGACGACTGTTAATTGCCTACAAGAACGGGATGTTCAGAGGTTTACGAAGCAACATGGAAAACGCTCAACAACATCGCCCTTCAAATGTGTTTCTACGACACGGTCTACGGCGGGTTTGAACGCCTCCAAAAGGTCTTGTAACACGCTAAAGTTTTTCAGGAACAGCCTATGTAGTCTCTTGATGACTCGTTGTGTAACTCCTCTATTCGTCTGAAGACCGTGCATATAGCTACAACGGAATCGGGTATAGCAAATTTGGGATCGACTGGAATAGAATAGATCGTTTTGTTAGAAGATTTTTTACGTCATTATTATCAGATCCAGCTTCGCTGAAAGTTAAAAATGCAATTTATCGAAAGGTCTTCAATCGACTGACGGTTAGCTATGTAGGTAGGACAGTTCTAATTGTCGCATAAAAACCTGGTAGAAGTAATTCGTCTTTTTCATGATTTGATAGAATACAATTAACTGGCCAGTGCCCAGACTTCGACCTACAATATGCTCGTACGTACGCTTGTCTTCTGTCTCGTAGTACTGGCAGATTCGAAATCATTCTATCCAAGATATCGCAAGTTCGCACGGTGTGCTTTTAACTACTACAATTCGTTCCCAAGGTAATCCGAACATTCTATGGGAATCTTTCTCAAGAAAGAAATTTTACATTTCTATATATGTATATGGTAATGCGCTCGATTACGCTCGAGTATTGAGCGTGCACGACATTATCCGTCATGACGTGAAGAAAAGACTATCATCGTGACGTTATTAGGTTTGGATCTTACTTCTAGTGTATTACCGACTCGAAAGAGAAAAGGGTTACTGCCTTGAGTATCCGGCCAGCTGCAATTTCTATCAGAATAGCAGAGTACCTTTAGATTATTATTTGCAAAATGTTTCATCTCAAATGCATCACTGAACATGGACTAGTTAATGGCGGACGTATATTCTAGCCCTTGAAACTACTGCGCACCTCTATCTATAGTGGGAAGTCTAAACGTCAGGCGCATCACCAACATGACACATCGTACTCTGTCTCTGACGCAGCGCCCCTGACAAGACGCGTACATTACAAATGATCGTATGCTCAAAGCTCAATACACTGCTCCAGCTCCAAACATGATTTTCCTAAAGCATTAAATAGGTTTGCCTATACACTAGTTAGAGGGGGCCTTTCGCTCGTTCAACATTTTTATGTCATATAATACACGCTCTATACCGATCGGACACGTAAACGATGCAACAGAGCTATTTAGGTCTAACTAGAATAAATGTGACCTATATTCACAGCTCTAAATTCCAGCATAACTTTCGAGAGAAGCTATATTTGATCGAAAGGTTTGAACGAACCAATAAAAAAGAATTCCTTCCCCGTTCCTTGTTGTATGTTGCATTTACACAAACACCCAGAAACTTTTCGCACTCATAGTAAAACCAGCAGTGCGGCAGGGGTGATAAACTTATCTTGCCTTCGATAGGACAATGCAGTATAAGGCTCAAGTCCTGCGCACCGCCGCTACTACTGGCCAATGCTCTAGCCCTATCACGGATACTCAAAAACTATGCCCATCTAAATTTGCGTATCTAGTCGTCATTATCGGCGCTGTAGATCGCCGTTGTCGAGTTTCGCCGCCACCTCTCTATCGCCTTTCTGTAGGAGATGGGATATTCTGTCGACGATATGTTACTTATTTGCTCGGTCCACCGACTTGAGGTTGCAGGACGTGGTCCTTGAAGCTTGATCTGTGACACGGCTGATGTGCGAGCCCAATGTATTTGCAATACAGCTTTCAATACGTGTGCCTCTTTGATCGCAATCTCGTCGTGCAAGGGCGCGGGCATGGCGATGGTTTGGCTTGAGCCTTCGATCACTTGCATCGCTGCGATGGCTGACTCTCCTGGCCGGCAGAAGAAGTGTCAGATTGCGCTAACTTGACAGCCATATAATAGGAAGCGAACTAGGCCTATCGTCTGAATGGCTACGTGGGGAACTAGCGACTCTTACCTATGAGTGGTCTGATAGCTCACCACTTCACTGAACGCCTTGAAACAACGGGGATGTCACAGTTAGGTTATTGTAGGTGCACGTACGGGCTTGGGGACCCGTGTAATGAAAAAGGATATTGACTCACTAAGGTTCTCTCTCACTCATTTAAACTTTTCATGTGTAAGCTAGCAATTCCAAACATGATGCACAAAAAATGCTACATGCTCAGAGCGTGCAGTGTGCTCTCACGCTGGACCATTTCTTCATAGTCCGAGACTATTTTTAAAGCTTTCTCAGGTTTGACTGTGCTGCATTATTTAAAATTCCTGTCGGACTTTGAATATCGAAATCGGTAGTCACAGGCTAACAATAAAGAAACTGCGTTTTACGTTTGGCATCGCCGTGAGGCAGTCCATCAAATGCTGGGTCGCGACACATAACGCACCACGTGTTTGTGCCAGGACTCGAACCTAAGCTACAACGTATCTCTTAAATTAGCAGACAAGAACCTTTCCACGGCTATCACGGAGACTGCATAGGTTATGCCTGCCTTAATCATCCTATTGTTGTTACCGCCGTCTGCAGAACTCACGTGAGGGTATCGCCTAAAAAAGATACTCGTACTTCGATTACTGCATTCGATGCTGATGGGTCCTTCGGAGCTATAGAGCTTGTCGATACTTCGAGACAAAATTTTGTTAGGTGCAAAAAATATTTTGTATAATCAGAAAAGAGGGCTTCCCTTATACAAGCACCCGAGTCTTCTGTAGGTTAGGGGCGAACGAAATACTAATATTTCGCGATAGTTTAATTATTCGATACAAACGTGAACGTTGATCTTTTCTTAATCGAACCTATACTACAACTAGAACATTTCACAACCGTCTGCCAATTCGTTTGGCGCATATTTTTTCATACTGCATAGATCTTAACGGAGAATTTTCCAATGAATTTTCCCTTTGGTTCGAGCTCCAGTAAAACTTCAGGAGCTCAGCACATACGCTTTTTGGCTAAATAGTCATAGAGCTCACATTAGCTCATTGACCAAGTCGCTAAAAGACTCCTAAACGCTATGCACTGTAGATTTCCTTTCCATGACAGAATTGTGTACCGCTGTTTAGATTTATTCAAGGACCCGTGAGAGTATGGAGGTTCAACATGAACCTAACCTAACGGACTCAATTTGGAGAGAAAGGGACCCGTCGACGACTATATCCATCATCACCGCTTCTCTTGCTATTTGAACATTTACTGAAAGATCGAAATGTATCTGGGTCCATATTGCAAACCTAGATTATCTTAGGTACCTTCCTAGTTATCAACTAAGCATCACCGTCACAGGACATCTATGGATTATGAAATCAACAACCGAACAGCTATCTAATATTTTCTTGTATCTCGTTAACGTTTATGGGCAGCTTGCAGAGTCTTTGCATTGTGTATCGTGTTGAGCTATTTAATAACGCTTGCATAGGATCTGGTGCTATTGACTGACATTATTCCCCCAAAAATTGTTCATTAGTACAGTTGAAGAAAGCGATACCCTAGCAAGCGCACTGAATCCGTTAAGCTGGATGACGATAAGGTTCACTCTCATGTACATTGCATCAATCTGTTGGGCATCGGTAAACGATTCGAGATGGACACCGGGATCACGATATGATCCGCGTTGATCCTCCTTCGGCACCGTCACAGAAATCTGATCCATCCAACCCCCGTAGATACGATCCCGCACATGCATGTATCAGACAACGCTGCCATATAGGGTAGATGTCCGGCAGATGCCACCGTGGAGTAAACCCTTCTGGTGAGCAACGCAAGCTGAAGATTCCGAATCAAGGTGCGGCATCATCTGTGGCTGACTATTGCCCTATTGAGAATCATAAGAGGGACGTTTACTCCGGGTTAAAGCTACCTGCCACACATCTCATCCTCGATCGAGAAAATATCTGAGTGCTTGATTTTTTCTTTTCGCCTTACTTTCATGGCCACATAGGTCCGGCACTGCGTCCTATTTTTGTTTTGTTCTGTAAGTTCTATCGACTTGCTTCAGTTAGGATTAGTTCGCCTACAGGCTACGCGTTCAGCTTTGTTCAGTGGTTGAATGCAAGCTTCTATTTCACGCCAATTCGGTGGGCGAGATTAGCAACTGAAGACCCTCGATGATTGCCCCCTAAAATCCGCATTCGTCCCTAAGAACACGATTATTTCATTCTTCATCGACATACCTACTGGCCATTGCGTCGGCAGCCCATCGTGAGCTTTTTGAATTGACGCATAAGACGGCGTGCTATCCGCAAGAGGATACGAACTAGCCGCGAGGTTAAACTACTCGTTCAGCACTTCAGCACTGAGGCTCATTGTCTAGTCAGCGCAAGCAATTTTGATTCCGTAACGCAGAGCGAGGGGACGGTACACGTGTTAGATCAAAGGTACTTCAAGATCAGATAAATAGCGTGCTGCTAGCTTGAAAGGTAAAGCCTAATATAAAAGACACGTTTCCGATAGAGATCTTCGGGTAGATGTCGTTGTTTCGTTTAGAACGAAACGATTGTGGCTCATGGGCTGAAAGACAGGGAGGTTGAAGGTGCAGTTTGCTAATTACGAAGAGTAGGTAGCAGCTCAATCCGATCAAGAAGACGATTAGGAACGGGTTGACATTCCTGAGGTCTTTGAGGAATGCCCCTTCGACGCCAAAACCGCCAGCGAGTGCTGGCCACATCTGAGGAGAAACGGCCAGCAGAAATGAATACATAACAAACTTCTCAGGCACAAAACCAGGCGTAAAGGACTTTAAACAACCCTCTCAAGCTTTGTTTCTAGGACAAATCAATTAACTACAGCACACTTAGTAGGCCTTTATGAGCAGTTCAAGACACACATTTATCACAACGTAAGAACGCGCGAGCGAGAGCGACATTCAGTGAAGGATAATTAGTGGGAAGCTAGAGGGGCATACCTAGATACTTAGAAAAAGAATTTGCAAAAAATAGAGGACAAGGTACGTAGTGTGTATATTCGTAGTCTACATCTTGTACGATACTGTTTTCGGCATAGATCGTGTAGCTCTTTGAATGCAACAACTAAAACGGGTGCATCCAGCGAATTGTGCTCCACGTACAGGTATTATATTTTGAACAGGTAGATTCGGTCACCCATTATAAGTTAGTGGATTACCCTGGCAGCTGGTTTTTGTTTTCGCTGTGTTGCCCTATTGCCCTTCTGTCATGATTTCTATGTAGTGCAACATGGGGCATACAATATTTTTACTTGTAATTGAAATCGACCCTGTGACAAGTACTGCTATTTAATGAACAAATACAAACTTATAAAGAGCTGCAAGGTCGTCTTACTCGTCAAATAGCCGGCGAATTGTAAATGAAAAATGGTTCAGACAAGATGGCCCAATGACAAAAATGTTTTTTTTTACACAATTGAAATGGTATTTTTTCTTCATAGACGTTTATATTATGTAAAAATAGCACAACCTACTAAACGAATAGACTCTTAAGCCATTGCTGGATAGCTATTACCAAATTGCAGAATTTCATCTTCAGAACCATAGGTATTATAATTCTGCATCCTGCGACCTAGCAGCGCATCGTCCTTTACTAAAGCACGGCTTAAGAGGACAGTCTAATAGGATGAAAACATTGGCACAACGAAGACAAGGTACTCCGCAGGTCCGATGAGCCCATCATTGTCAGTAATATTTAACACTGGCATAGAAAACATACGTAATACATTTATGAAGTTAATTGTCGTACGTACGTACGTACGTACGTGTAACCGATAAACTGGTAGACGCGATTGGAGGAAAAATTGTTTTAAAAAATTTTAATTTCCGAAGCAAATTCTACTTAATGAAATCCGGCTACCTGTGATAAATCAACAGGTGTGTCGCTGAAAAAATAGTTACCTATGTGAAGGACAAACGTAGACAATTATTTCCATAACATGATCAATGCACACTCCTAGATAGGGAATGATCAAATAGGCTGTAGCAATAATTACCCACAATTGATGGTATCAGCTAAACTTTCAACCCTCGGAGATAACGGAGCAGTAAGCTTTCCAGTGATCATGCCCACGAACCAGAGAACTGCGACAGAAAAAGAGCCTTTGAGAAGGAGTAAGACTACGACATTTCTTCTGTGAGAACCCAATTCGCTTTGAACTGGGTTACGGTAAAAAACGAGTTTCGGCAATGAGTCGTTCTTAACACAGGTTTTGTATAGAATTAAAAAATTGTTAGCAATGGACACTTTGTAAACTGTGCCCACCATATATTCTCATCTCCCGTATTTATTGTTTTTCTAAACAAAAGGCACACACTTTTCATCGTTCTCTATTTTCCCTTCCAAGCGGTTTATTTTTGAGCTTTCATACGAATGACACAAAGTTATCTTCCAGTTAAGAACGAAAAATTTGTGAGTTCTAATAGGTCCACAATGAAAAGATATAAACTTACTTTTCCTCAATACATAGCATCTTTTTCAGGAGGATTGTGTATTTTTTCAATATCAGTATGTAAAAAATTAGGCCAGGTCGAAGTGAAGTAGATCGGCTAATAAAAATCTTCAGAAATAATAGGAAATTGAAGACACCTTAGGATATTGGGCAAATTCGATATATCGCCGTAGCACGAGATGGACCATTGCCGCGCTGTCGGCCTTATGTGCATCAAAAAAGTCTGAATAGCCTTGGATAACGTTGGTGCATTTGTAATGGTTGTGATAACATACCCATTTTACCTAATGAAGAAAATTAGCCAAACGTATCTTTTACAGAAGTTACCATCAATTATTGATTCTATGAAATTACCGAAGCATAAAAATTTTGCTTTATCGACGCACGTCTTGTACATTTACGCGCAGAAGGACTCAAATCATCGACTACTGCAGAAACATAATGAACTTCTGCTAGAAGTTAGCGGGAATCCGACAATTTTCCTTAAAGCATAATTTGTCTTGCTAGAACTAGCGTCAGTGGAGACAGTCACCGCTGCATTGCTTCAGGTCTAACTTCTTCAGCCTAAACGTTTGCGCCTTCCTGGCCAGCTGAAGCTACTGCTATATTTAGCTTCAATTATCGGCGTAGCCGGTTTGGCGTGACCAATAGGCCTCACGACGCCAATCCCTTTAATCAGGCGGGGCAATTCGTCCTTTGGCAGTACCTTGTTATCGTTTCTCGTGGTGTATTTCAAAATCAAACTTTGGATTCTTGGTAGTAGCGCTTTCGTAGCTTATCGAAGTCGGCCGTCTCCGTTCGGCAGTACCTCTTGGACCGGCCCGGGCGAACAGATTAGAGCACGCAATAATTCATTTTGGTGAACCGAACTGATGAGTGTAAGTCGCTCGGAATCCTGATAGTGAGATCGCGCCATTGAAGTAATCGTCCACCGGACTCGAACCTTAGCTACGGCAAATCAGTACCTTATGGAAGTAAGCCGCGAACCGAAATCAACTTCGCAGTTTAATGGGAGGGACCCTGGCGCTCTCTAAGACTAGAGTCGTTTTTTTCATGGACCATTTACAAGGAGGTTAAGCAATTGAATAGTAATTAACTATACGCTAATATTTTGCGCGTACAGCTCTGTTTTACCACTTACCCGAAGACCACTATGGCCTTTAAAACTATTTATCATTATATTCCCATATTAATCCATCAAGATCGAACTTACTAACTTACTTCATGACTCAATAAAGACCAAAGTTCGCTTCTGCGGTAGAAAGATCCAAGCGTTACGTGGCCTGGGCTAACTCGACTTGATAGTTATGCCACAGTGGAACGTTGCTTCCGCAATAAAAAAAAACACGTGTTATATTTTCAAACTTATGCGCGATCTAAACTTCTAAGTTAGGTCAGGCGGTCGTCGTTTTCGCTGGCCAATAAACAGGTTCAACTTCTAAAAAGTCTTTTAGTTTTACTAATATGTAGTTTACTGTGTCTATATCCTCTAGACTGTGCACGTGAGCAAAAGTGTACATAACGGTGGAAAATGGTCTTCTATAAACAAATGAAGATCTCTACCGAAAACAACGTGGCGGTATCTCTTTACTGTTCTGAAGCTTTAGGGTTATATTTTCAGGACTATATCAAAAAATAAAGATGTCTGACTACGGATTGCCGGTGAAGTTACTTGAAAGCGACACGCGATGCGTATCATAAGAAACTCCATAATGTCGACAAAAGACAGCTTCCTATCACTCTATAACTGAACAAAATCGAACGCCGTCCAGTGTTATAGAGAACAGCGGTCGTGCCATGACGAGCAACTTGTCGAAATTAGCGACAATGTTGTAGCGATGTTGCTTTTATTTGAATTTCGCTACGCGTTACGTTGACATGCTGCGTATATATATATATATATGTAGCAATTTTGTGAGAATGATGATTCGGGAAATGCAACGATTGCGGTGTCTTCCCAGCGACCTTTATAATCCTATAAATATATATGCTTCAAAGACGATCAGCGCGGTGAGGATTACAATACAAAATGTAGATTTAATAACCCGAATGTATGGATCAAAGATACAATTACACATATTTTTTTGCGAGGCAATGTTTTATTCAGAAAACCTGGCTTGCTTAGTGGTCGCCAGCCCTCATTTCGAGTTGATTGCTTTAACTCATATATACGGCAGTGATAACGATACGCGCGTAGCCAGATACAGACCCACAGATACGCTCACATAAATGAATAGTTTATGTTCGCTTAGTTCATTCTGTCATTGTCTT